TAGTAATATTTTTGGTAGTAAGATTGCAACGAGTAAAATTTACTCTAACCACCAAATCTCCTATATTTAGGTTATTAATTAATTAATTTAATTGAATGACAAAATAAATAATTTATAAATTAATTTTGTAAACCTTCCATGCACTAAGTTAAAAAATGAAATTTATTTAAAAACGGATGGTAATTTTGGTTGCTTCCTTTACATGGGGTAACAATAATTAGTTTACTGAGGAAAAGCGGTGAGAACATGTTGAAATTGGAAATGGTCCAGCTAAGTTCAATTGACTTCAATGTAAAACACCTAGCTGCCACTTAAAAAAGCAGGGACTTCCTTTTCCATTAAAGGTAATTTCTAATCTTTCCTTTTTGGCTCAACAGATACACCAGCTATGAGTCTATAACCGACCCAAACTCCACAACACTTTAACAAATTTTTTATTACATTGATATTTTTAGGGTATTCAAATAAAAAACCCACGACCTTATTCAATAATATATATAAATATTGTTGTTAGTTGCTTCAGGCCACGCATGGAGCCAGCCCACCCAACCTACGACTATCTATCTACCGAGCTATCGCTATTACTTGCTGGCAGTGGCTCTGCACGCTTGTCCTGCCCCCCACAGTCAAAAGCTAGCCATGGTCTATAAACCATGTGAAAATTATACGCTTATAGCTTCTCCGATTTCATATGTAGCTCACGCAAGAAGCAAGAAACCAACACCTGGCTGGATGCCCTAATTTCCGAACAAAACAAAACCCTATATTTGACGGCTCCATTTCTTCTTTCCTTTCAAAGAAGAAGAAACCCTAACCGAACAAAATAATGAGGGGAGGGGAAGAAAGAGAGAATTAATTAATTACTGGTGATTAGTTTAATCCTCTAATTGATACTGCCATGATGGTCACGTGACTAGCACACCCTATATATTATAAATTTTTTCTAAAATATTGAAATTGAGTAATTAGGTGGCCGTCGATGTAGTGTCGCTGACTCAAAAGATCATAGCTTTGGTCCCCTCGAGCAACAATTTACAGTCTTTTCTTTTCTTTTGTCTGGATGAAAGGGATGATTATCTCTCTCTCTCTCTCTGAGTTTGAGGGGGGAAAAAGAAAAGAAACTTCTGCAAGTTTCCAAGGCACAAGAGAGATAGAGCATTGGGAAGGACATGGATGGATGAGACCAATATATAAAAAATTAATTTTTTTTTCTTGTCTTTTGGGTTTGAATTAGTGTGTTGTGTTAGTTTGTTGTTAGGATTTGTCGACAGAGGCATTGTGGGTCACAAATGTCTTATAATTTAGGTAAATAATACTAGTAGTATATTCATTTAATCATAATATATTTATTATTCTATATCCATTAGAAAAAAATAAAATTAATTTTAAAAAAAATATAGTAATAATATTTCTACGGTTTTACGAGTCCGAAGAGTGTATAATCCCAAAGGTATGTCTTATCACCTTTTGTGTTTCTTGGTCAAAATAAACAAGAAATAAAATGTTCAAAGAGCCACCATGCCTGTCCTGTTCTTGCCTTGTCCAAGAACAAGTCTTTTTAACTTTAGATGCATCTAGTTTTGTGTCTCCTTTTTCTAAACCTATCCTCCAAGGTTTTGTAGGGGCTGTCTTTCATATTTTTTCATTTCTAAATGGTCATCTCTCCTCCCTTCTCTCATCGGTTTTTGCATTCTTCTCCATTTCTTTATCTCTCTCTGTGTTTTATTACAGCCTGTTGTTATTGTTATTATTATTAGTTTAATGAAATTTGGATCGAGGATCTTTTTCTTTTGTTTGATTAGCTAAATGACCAAATAAACAAAATCAATAAACTTGGGGATTTGATTAAGAATCAATTTGTTAGAAAACAATATTTTGGATTTGATTTAAACAGTTAAGAAAGTTTAAACTAAGATTTTTTATTGATGAAATAATAAATTTTTATATAAATTGATTGATTAATTCTTGGAAAATCTCCCAAATGAATAGGTAGTAATTAATAATATTATTATTGGAATGCGTATGATCTAAAATTTAGTCCAATATGGAAAGGAAAAAGTTAACAGTAGTTATGTCTCTAATGCTATAAACAGAGCAATTGGGCAACATGAGATCTCTACTAAATAAAAACAATTGCAACTTTTTATGAACCCTAAAAGGTTTCCCCAATGCCATTTGCACTATAAAATTGCTCTGCACCTTGTTAGAAAAGCATGTGTTTAAGGTCTCCCACACGCATACACGTTTGACTCTCTCTTTCTGTACGTATGTGGGTGGGTCACTTTGAATCCATACATTTTAGTATTTTTCTTTTCCACTAAAAGAAAAGGCAAGTGCTTTATATCTATTCACTATTAGAAAAGGGAAAGAAAAATTTTGACTCGTTGAATGCATAATGTCTCTCGAATCAAGCAGTATCTTCAACAAGTTTGAAGTATCAAAACAAAAGAATGCAATTTCCCATAGGCCGTACGTAATCTTGGATGGTTAAATTTCCAAGACCAACCAAATTATATATGTTTTAAGGGGCTAATTATTATAATTTAGTCTCTAATCTCCATTGTTTAAGACTTGTTAATTAGTTGAAGTTTGGACTCCACTCATGCCATCCATTAGCAATATGCCATATAGCCCAAAACCCTAGAAAAAGATATGCTTTTATATGAACGAAGAAGAGATCAGAGTATTATATACTACAATCTGCACTTTCAAATTTTTGGCAACGAGAAGATGACAGAGACACAAGTGCAAGTGAGATTGGTAAATCCCAGAAATGTTAGCTTAACATAACACCTAGAGATGCTTCTCACATCATCTTTTTGTACTACTATTAAATATAAATCTATGAAATAATAATTCATTATATAATGAACTATGGTCCCATATGATCGAGGTGCTCTATGTAATTTCGATTCCCATGACGCCTTGTAGGTGTAAGTATCAAGGGTTAATCTTGAATTAGGGTTCTGTTTACTATTATTATTTAACATTTGTAATTAGGGGTATTTCTGTAAATTAACAAGTCTAAGCGGCTGTATGCATGAAAAGAAGCGAAGAGATCAAAACCCCATTGTTAGGTTATAAGCACATGATTCTACGTGAAGAGTTTAGATAAATATAATTAAGATTTGTTTAATTAATTAAGGTAGGGTTTTCTCATATAACAAGATGGGATTAAAAAAAAAGGGTTATGTCACATGCAAATAGGATTAAAAATGGGAAAAGATTGATTAGTTAAATGATTATGGTGGATTCTTATATTCACATATCCTTGAAATAATAATTTGTAACACAATTATCGAATATTCGCACGCATAAGACCAGTTCATTATACTAATAACATTTGCTTAATTGTTTTAAGTATTTAACTGCAACCCTTAGCATGTGAGAAGGTCTCGGGATTGAGTCCCTCTGCACAAGCTTTGTCACTGTTTTTTTTTTTTTTCTTTTCTTTTCACAATATTTCTTTATTCAATCTTTACCTACCAATAAAATTTAGACCAGCAATGTTTTCTTTTTCATATGACGCTAAATATCAAGATTATTATATTGGAAATTTTAGATTAAAATCCCTCATAAATCTATAAAAATATTTAAAATTTAACGTTAGGATGATGTGAAGGAAAACAGTATATATATATATTGTACGTAAGGTGTGACTTCAATGTTCGAATACAAAGATTGGAAAGTTGCAGTGTCAAGTTGATAAAAAAAAAAAAAAAAAAAAAAAAAAAAAAAATACAAAGAGTTGGAAGTTGCCAGTGTCAAGTTGATTAAAAAAAAAAAAAAAAAAAAAAAAAAAAAAAAAAAAGGAGAAAAAGAGCAAATAGTAGTGAGCACTTTGTTCGTTTAAATTTGATTGAATGCATAAATTTCCAAAAAAAAAAAAAAAAAAAAAAAAAAAAAAAAAAAAGGAGAAAAGAGCAAAAGTGGTGAGCACTTTGTTCGTTAAATTTGATTAATCATAAATTTCAATTAAATTCGATGCGTTATTGAGTTTTCAGTATTTTTAATTTCAGTTGATTATTAAAATTAATTTTGTTAAAATAATTTAATTAAATTTAATTAAAAAATTCGATTAAATTTCATTAAGTAAAAAAGTTTTAATTAATTCATTTCGATTGAAATATTATTCAAATTGATCGAATTGCGAAATGCTCACCCATAAAGAAATCCTCCTCAATGAGTATTTATGATTTGAAAATTCAAATTTGGATAAATAAAGTTCATATATATTGGACAAAAGCTGATTGATAGTAAATTGTCACCTTATTAGATGTGATCTAAGAATTAAAAATCAAACTACAAGATGAAAGGAAAATCCTTTTCATGCAATCTGGTGGTACAAAAATTTGAAAAAAAAAAAAAATACAGGAAAAATCTATATGATGACTCATGCACGAATTTCGACTACAATACTTTTATTTCTTTCAAACATCATGGTTCATTTGAAAAAATTTGACAAATAATCATGTGAAAATATTTTTGTTAATAACTGTCAAGTGATAAAATTAATTTAAAATTAAATTATTTCTAAAAACTAAGACAAATATTTTTAAAAAAAAATTTAGAATTTATGACATCTTATCACATTCCTTTTAACAGTTTCTCTTTTTTTATGGAAATGATTCATTTTTTTCAAAAATAATTTTTATCAACTATACTTTTCAAGAATGAAGATTAAATTGGAGTTTTCCAATGGAAGATTCTTGGTTAAGCCAATGATTTTTGTTTGTTTATTTGATGGGCTTCGGCTATGATTAGATGAGGCGAAGGGTCCAGAAAAGGGAAGTCCATTATGTTTGGATTGAACTAGAACATGTTTGGGCCTTATATAAAGTAACATGGTTGGGGTTGGAAGCCATTTGGATTAGGCCCAATTACCAAATCTATTAAAGTCTTATTGGACCCTATACAAACTTATAGCAAGTACTTTACGTACTTTTGGAATTAGCCTTTTTTTTTTTTTATTTTAACTGGATTCTAAATCAAAAGCAGCCCACTTTGCACTTACCAGGTGAAAGTAAAACTATCGGGACTCTGTTCCTTTCCAAGTTTCACTGGGTTCTGCTGCTACTTTCAGAAACCCTAGAAAACAAAATTTCTAGGGTTTTTGTTCAATTTGGGGTTTTAATTTTGGGGCTTTTTGAAATTCAGTGCAATTAGGGTTTTCTTTAAGTTGACTTGTGATGGATATCGATAAAGCTAAGCTATTTGTGGGAGGTATATCTCGGGAGACAAGTGAAGACGCTCTCAGAGCTCACTTCGGTAAGTATGGGACAGTTTTAGGTTCTCTGGTTGCTAAGGACAAGAACACCAAAAGTCCTAGAGGATTCGGCTTTGTTTGGTTTTCTGATCCTACCTTCGCCGATAAGGCACTTCAAGACTCTCATGTAATACTAGGAAGAACGGTTAGTTTTTCAGCTTTCTTTTATATGTCTCTATCTGGTTTTAAGTGCTGTTTGTTTGTGTTCTAAATTAAGAAGGTTTATGATTCTTGACTTCCTTGACTACTCGGTTAATGAACAAGGAGAGGAACGTTACCATTTTGTTTTTGTTCTATTAGCTTTTCTGATCAAATTAAGCTTTTCTGGGTTAACTTAACTTTGGCGTGATAAATTTTTGCTCTTTGGTTTTGGCTGTTTTAATTAAGGAAGAACCTTTGTTTTTTTTCCCCAATAGCTAGAGAGTCTTCTTTGTGGACGGTTGTCGACAGGCAGGTTGCCATGGGAGAGTTTGTCAAAGTAGTTGAAAATTTTGATATATTTTTGTGTTACCTAGGTGTTTTGACACTGGTATTAATTTTTGGGTTATTTAATTTATTACCGAATTTTCTCTCATCTAGGTAGAAGTGAAGAAAGCTATACTCAGGGGTCAACAGCTGCAGTTCCAACAGCATCTTCAGCAGCACCAACTTCCCAACCATCAAATGAATAGTGGGTTCAATGAGAATAGTAGTACTGGTAATGGCAATGATAATTTTAGGACTAAAAAGATCTTTGTAGGGGGTTTGTCATCTAGTCTAACCGAGGAACAATTTAAGAATTACTTCGAGAGATTTGGCGAGATAGTAGATGTAGTTGTGATGCAAGATAGCTCAACCAACAGGCCAAGGGGTTTTGGTTTTGTCACGTTTGATTCTGAAGAATCCGTTGATAAGGTAATGCTAAACACTTTTCATGAGCTAAATGGTAGGCTTGTAGAGGTCAAAAGGGCTGTGCCAAAAGGTGGACTTAATGGTAGTAACAATAGATATATCACAAAAGGTGGTGTAAGGGGGTCTTCTGTGAAGAGTTTTCAATCTGGAAATTACCTTCCCTATAGTCCTGGATATGAAATTTTCCCAGGTTATGTTCCTCTTCCAGGATATGGTGGTGTTGGAGGGTATCTTTATGGGACAGGCGTCTATGGTGGTTACCCTATGGTAGGTTATGGAAGGCCTGGCTTTGGGGTTACAACAGTTGCCCCTAGGATCTCATGGAATGGCCCTGTAATGATTGGAGCCACAATGTACCCTTCACCTTATAGCAATGCCTTTTCTTATCCAACTCACATGAACGGTGGTGTTGGTTTCATGGGTATGATGATGGGTGGGCACAGTGGGATTGCTGGGTCAAGTGGTAATGGAAAACCTAATGAGGTGTCTTGTAGTAATGGTCGTCTGCTACCTGAAGCTTCACTGCCTCCAACTGGCAACATTAAGTCAGGAGTTGATTGTTCAGGCCTGAAGAGTAGTAGTGGTGGTGCTTCCAGCTAACATAATTGACTAGGTTTTATGGACAGCTGAAGTCTTTACCTTTAGGTAGTTCTAGCTGACTACCCTACCCTGTACACATTCTTAATGGACATTGAAGGTTTAGGAAATTCTTTCACTGATTGGGCTAGGGCAACTATCACTGTTCAGATGTCTGTTTTACATGTGCCAATTCAATTCCGTAAACATGTGCTTGCTGTGTGTCTTCTCTAGTTTGAATCATCTGTAAATATGTGATTCAGTCATCTATAACATAAATGCTTTTAAATCCAACTTTTCTCTATGTTTTTTAACCTTTTTAAGCTGGCCGTACAAATTACAAGGGGAATTATGTTGCACATGGCTCATTTATAGTGACAACTCAATGTATATGTTTGCATTACGCCTGTTATTGTGTGTGATTATCATTCCTTTGAAAAGATTGAAAGTATGAGTTAATTGTAGATGACATATTTGCTAATCAAAAACTGTTATCTTGTTTGGGTTTAAAAGTGTACTTGGTGAATTTATTTTATTTTTTGTTAAAATGGATTATCTATCATCTCATTATTGAGGGTTAGGTTGAGAGTATGGTATCATAAAAAAATTCATGATTCATGCTTGGCATTAAACCCTTGAATGATGAGCTTGGTCTGGGTTTCCCCAAATGAAATGTAGAAATTGTGATTCTATCTTTTTGTTTTTATTTTTACGTGTATTTTTTTTTTTTTTGTACACAAGTTATTTCGACATGTAGATCAACATTTTTCTTTAGGTGAACAAAATTAAGCTTAGGTCATGCGTTCTGTGTTCTCAGTAACATTTTTCTTCAATGTACTTCTTTGTTCTCGCTTTAGATTTTAGCTAACCCCATGTAGCTAAAGATTGCTTCGATGCAATAGTAGCTGTATTTCAAGGGCAAAGCATCAAAAGCGAGTCTCTCTTGTGTCAAGTGTAGAGCATGGAGTTAGTCTTGCTCGTGTCAATACAGAACAGAATAATTTGAGTTCGATTTACTAGTGGATGACATTGTCTTGTGTTTGGATACGAAACTGAGCTTGCTTATGCTTAAGAATATTTTTATCCTGACATCTTGTGGTTGACCGTCTGTCTGTATCCATCATTAAAGTGTGGTGAATCTTTTTTTTTTTTTTTTTTTTTTTTTCTAAGATATTATTCGCTGACATCTTGTGGTGACCGTCTGTTCTGTATCACATCATGAAAGTGTGGTGATCGTTTTTTTTTTTTTTTTTGTGTTTCTTTTTTTTTTTTTTTTTTGTTTTCTTTCTGTTGCTGTTCGTGTATCAGAAGGTAAAAAGTTCTGTAATGGTCTAACAAAAAAACTAATTTTTTTTTTTCTCAAAATCCAGGTGCGTCCCTGATTCAAACTTATTTTAAATCTTACTGTGGAATAAATATATCAATGATGACGATTTATCTCTATACAAATTGCCATTCAACAACGTTTTTATTATAGTACATTCCTATCCAACTTCAGGCCTATTATGAACGTTCCCATGCTGTTATATTCGGCTTTCAGCTGTGACCAAACCAAGGCCCCTTCCCATACACAGCCTTGACTTTATTATTTTATTTTCATCCTTGGAAAATTTTATGGTAATCTAAGAAATTGATTTGCATACCAACAACGTTTAAATTATATTTTTTGAAAAATAATTTCTTCGAACTGTAGATATGACAACTTAGAAAAGGATAATTTTCACTTTCATTTGTTGCCAGTTGGATATTGAAATTGATTATTTTTTAAATTTTAAAAATATTTTATTCTTGAATTTTTTTTTTTTTCAAAAGACAAAGAAGACTAATTTAGGTCTTTAAAAAAATTGGAGTTTATGGTATGTGATAAAGAGAAAAAGGTTGTGGAGGACATTTTCTACTTCGCATTAAACAGGAGATACAGAACAAGGAAAAAAGGAAAGAGTTCCACTCAAAAAAAAAAAAAAAAAAAAAAAAAAAAAAAAGGAAAGCAAGTTCAACTCAAAAAAAAAAAAAAAAAAAAAAAAAAATAAAAAAAAAAAAAAAAACTACTCATTTAACCGGCAGAAAAAGCCCAAAACCACAAAATCAAGAAACCAGAAACGTAAAGCCCAGCCCTCTAATGGCAATTTTTGCAAATGGTTAGAAAAGGAATCAAGAGGGAAGAGCAAATTAGAAGCCTCAGTACCGTAAAAAAAAAAAAAAAAAAAAAAAAAAAAAACTACTCATTAACCGGCAGAAAAGCCCAAAACCACAAAATCAAGAAACCAGAAAACGTAAAGCCCGCCCTCTAATGGCAATTTGGCATGGTTAGGAAAGGAATCAAGAGGAAGAGCAAAGAAGCCCAGTAAGTAGTAACGGTAGGACCGTAATAAAGACTTGAAAATTCTCAATATCCTGTCTTGGCCAATTGAGAAAATGCTGGTGGTAAGCCAAGGAACAGGAGGAGCTCTATCAGCCAGAAAATGTACTCACATAGCTCCTTTCAAATTCACCCACAAAAAGCCACCTCTCTTCTCCAATACCACCGGACCCAATTTTATTTCGAAGAAACAACCCTTTTATCTAACTCTCGCTAAAGCTGATGGAGGTTTAGATTCTTCCTCTGCAACCAAACAACCTCTTTCTAGCAACAATTCACCCCCTCCTCCTCCCTCTTTCAGCAGTGATGACACCGTTTTCGTGGGCCAAGAGAATGTTCCTTTGGAAGGTGTTATTCAATTCGAGAAGCTCACTTCTTCTTCACGTCTGGACAAATGGGGGTAATTTCGATTTTTTTTTTTCAAAATTTTGTTTTTCAGTGTATTTGATTCTTTGCTAGTGTGTCTTATCTGAGAGTTCAAGTTGCTTGCACTAAATTATGTTGCAGTCGCATGGCTTTATTTGCTGGTGGAGATGTATTGGCTCTGCTTTTGTTCTCTGCAATTGGAAGATTTAGCCATGGCTACTCTGTGTTTGACCTTGACACACTGCGCACTGCCGACCCTTTTATTGCCGGTATATAATATTACTATAGTTTGTATATGTGCCTTTATTTTTTCTTGCTGGTCTGTCTAGTTTAAATTTAAAGGTATTTGAAGGTGCGTTAAAAATGAATAGGGTGGTTTTTGGGCGCTTACTTCCTGGGAGGTTATGGCGAAGATGGACGTGGAATGAATGGCATTTCTAAGGCGATTGTAGCTGCTGCTAAATCATGGGCTCTGGGAATTCCTGTAAGTTTCAATGTTGCCTGATGTTAGCCATTTTTCTTAATTATTATTTTTTAATTATAATTTATCTTAGGAACTCTTCAGTTTTAAATTATATGAATGCTGAAGATACAATACTGCGTGCTTAACTTGATGTGTCAGACCTCAATCTCATCAATCCCATTTTGTAAATATTTGAGTAGAAGATCCAGTTATATCATCTGCTATTTTATCTTTTTATGAATTCCTAGTTGCTGACTTTGTTCTAATAGTTTTATTGGCTGCAAAAACGTTTTGGCTCATGATTTTGGACGTTTCTTAAGGTTGAATTAACAAATTATTTTTCATATATGGCGTCCTAAATTCAGCCATTGCTGAAAGTTGTCATAAAGAAGCATTTGTTAATAGTTGTCAATCCCTTTCATTACATCAAACTGATAGGATGCTACACTCTTATTCTGTGTGGTGACTCTCATTTACAAATGTTTCTGTTCAAGATGCTAGATTGTCTTTCAACCCCCTTGTTTGATGTAAATTAATTCAAAATATTGAACTCATTCAGAAACAAAAGAATTAACTGTAGTAACATTGGATTTCATAAAATTGCATTCATGGGAGAGAAACAAACACTTAAATTTATAACAAATCTTCACATAAATTCCAATGGATAGAGACAAAGAGAGTTGCTTCCATTGGAAAAGAGTTAATTTGTTCATTTCCTGAAACTATTAAAGATGCTTTTGATTTTATACGTTGGTTTACCGTGTGGGTGAGGTGGACTCAACCTGCCCCGGTATTTAAAATGAAAAAATAACCTCATGAATGAAGCATGAGGTGGCTGCCAGCATGTGGCAGCTACTAAGTGTCAAGCTAATTTGCTTACACTGTGCTTGTATGCCAAGTGTCAAGCTGTGAAAATGGCTATATATGAGCTAATTAGCTCACTTTGGAGAATAGTTTTATATTTATACTCCCTTTATTGACTGTTTATTCATTTATCTACTGGTCATAGGCATTTGAATTGGTTATATGGATTAATTGATATTATTGGTCAAAATTCCATAAGGAGCAATGACGGGGCAGATACAACAGTGTTCATTTTTTATATAAGATAGAATCATCTGCTATATGTCCCATGGAAGGGTTCAACTACTTTTCTGATTTATTTATGCTGGGACCATATGGGAAATGGTTGTCCACTGACCTCAAGCTGCTCTGTAGAGGTCTGACTGGAATTTCCAACGTTTAGCATATAGATTTGTCTTACTGGCGTTTTCAATTCTGCCTTTGATCACTTGTATAAAACATTATAATCATAGATACGATATTGCATCTGCTTGTTTTAAGATAATGTATAACCTTTTGAGTTCAATATTATACTACATTTTCCTGTCTGCTCAAAGATATTGTGACTTGCCTTTGTTCATCATTAGACATAAGTGTGCCATCTCTATCAAGCAATATGTTCAATGCTTGCCGTTCTTATTTCAACTTTTTACAGCTCATTGTTCTTTCACTATTTTACATTGCATGTGGTTTTCAGCAGCGCATCTTGGTTGTAAATATTAAATAAGCCAAGCACCTTACTTTAATTCTTTTCCATTTACTTGCCTGGCAGCTGGGAGTAATTATAAGGGCAGTATCATCTGGACATATTCCACCTTATACTTTTATCTTAGTAACAATGGGAAGCACTGCCGTTTTACTTATTGGATGGCGAGCTCTATTATCAAGCATTCTTCCTAATAATGAGAGTAAGAAGAATGATGTATACCGGCGTGGTAGCCCCTTTGAACTATTTGAGGTATTCAGTTTTTCATGCCTAATTAACATTCTGAAATCTAAAATGGAAATTATATAATTTAAACTTGACACACGCAAGTTAAGTTACTTGTGAAGAATTTTGTTATTTTCTTATTATGGTAATGATACTTTTAGATCATTTTATCATGAGCTGCATATGCTCATTGTATTTCAAAAGGGCACCATTATCCATGTAATGTGCTCTTTGGTTCCATGACCAAATTCTGGTCTGTCGAACCTTAATTTTATATTTCGTGTGGTCATTTTGAAAATTTCTATTTTAAATGTATTTTGTTTTTGGTTGAATTGGAATATTTGGTGTATGAGCCTAGGGTTCTATATCAGTTATGCATATTGGAGCCTTAATTGTCTATTCTATCATTCAAAAGATTCAAATCTGAAATTAAATGTGTTAATATTGCTTCCTCATTCTGCCCCTTTTCTATGGTAATAAGTGTATTGTTGTCAACAAGACTTAAAACATATAAGCTGCACTTTTTTCATTATTAAAATCGTGTCTCAGCATCCGTTTTGTTTCTATTATTTGCTATTCCTTTATAGGTTTTGATTGCGCTTTTATGCTTCTGCTATACTTTGAGATACCAATTGTCAATTCCTAATAAAGAATTTTATAAATAATTGCAGTTGCTCACATCATTAGTGCGAAGGTGGTGAGTACGAAAGCCATTTTGTCTGTGATTGTACCTGTGATGTTATGTTCTCTCGAGGCATCAATATCTTTCTTTTTTGACTTCATACTGTTTGTAGCCATTAGCTACCATTGTAACAGGTATGAAACAAAATCCTGGATAGATGTTAATTGTATATGAGTATCATGCATTTGAATTTCAATGTTTTGCTTAATCTATATTTTAAATCCATTCTTTTCCTAGGCTGTTTAATTTTAAGATATAAGGAATGAATATTATGCATTATGTGTAATGGCTCAATAATTGGTCTGTTCCAACTTGTGCCATATTTCTTTTTAACTTCAATCTGCTTTTTTTGGGTTAACCTGAACATTTTCTTTTGAGAACTGTTATAAAATAGGATAATGCATGATATTCTAATAGAGATGAAGAAATACTATTGTCAAGCCATCTGCTGAAGTAGTTACTGTTGTATCAATTCTCGTACTATTTTCTTTCGGGTTTTTTTTTTTTTTTTTTTTTTTTTTAAAATAGAGTATAATGCAATGATTATTTCTAATTAGAGATGAAGATAAATACTATTGTCAAGCCATCTGCTGAAGTAGTTACTGTTGCTATCAATTTCTTCGTACTATTTTCTTTCGGTTTTTTTTTTTTTTTTTTTTTTTTGGGGGGGGAGGGTTGGCGGGGGGGGGGGGGGTTGGCGGTGGGAGAAGGGGTTAAAATTGATGTTTTTGGAATTGCTGTAGCATTTAAGGAGCACCTTAATAGGCAAAATTTGCGGCATGTTAAATAATTTTGGAAAGCTCAATTGCATTTTATGAAGTTGTTAAAATATTTTTACTGTTACAACATTTTGCTTTTTACCAGCAATTCCTGCAATGCAAGACAATAGAAAAACAAAGTTACATTCCCATCTTTCTTTTATTCTATGGATAGTCAAGTGTTTGTCATCCACGCAATGCACTTAATATCCGGACTATCAAGCATTGTGCAGAATAATAAGGCTAGACTAGGGTAAGAGCTTGAGAGTGGGTTAATTTAGCCATATGAAAGGTTCAAGATTTATAATTTCTGTTACCTCTTCTTACTGATGATAATTAATTGTTTGATATCTGTTTTTATTTACTTTTTTCTGTTGATAGTTTAGCACTTAGGTCATGTATTTTCGCTTCCTTTGGGCCTATGTGTATGGAAAACAGAAGAGTACCCTGTTTGTATATAAGTTGCAAAATGCATGAACTACCCACTAAGGGTAAAAAAGATATATGTATTCTGATGTCGCTGCTGATGCCGTAATGTTTGCCTCGTTCTTTTTTCTGCAAAATGATGCATATGGGTTATGCACATTGCTACTCGTATTTGCCTTTTGCAGTTTAACCTGCAGTGAAAATCTGGTTGCCAGAAGAGACTGAATTTTTTTCTTCACTTGTCTTTCTATAGATTTGAGACCGCAAACTGTGCTCCATTACATTCAAATTTATCCGTTTAACTGATGAAGGATTCTCATTCTACTGTTTTTTTTTTCCTTTCCTAATATCAGGAAGAATCTGCTGCCTGGTACATGAGCTAGATGCCTTGGGGCTAATAATTATCTATATCTAATTAGCTTAAACCTTTTCCATGCATTTTAAGCGTTGTTATTGCTATGAAATGGGATCGGAGAAATCTGGATTAGATGCCTTTTCCTCTGAACTGGTGGTTTTTTTGATGTTCTTTACTCTTGTTCCAAATATTTGCATTGTTAAATGAAAATGCAGCGGGAAGGGCAATTTTGCCATTTACACGTATTGTATTTCTTCTTTTTTATTTTTAAAACAACAATATGATAATACTAAATCGGATAATAGGATCGTATTGCATATTATAATGGTAAATTGGCTCTACCCTACCAGCCTGTGGTTGCCAAAAAAAAAAAAAAAAAAAAAAAAAACTAAATCGGATAATAGGATCCCGCTATTGCATATTTTAATGGTAAATTGGCTCTACTCCCCTACCAGCTGTGCTGTTGTCCAAAAAATATAAAAAAAAATAAAAAAAAAATTCTATTGCATGGATGTTTCTTCATCCAAAAGGTAATTCGAAAAAAAAAAAAAAAAAAAAAAAAAATTCATTGCAGGAGTGTTCTTTCATCCAAAAGGTATATTCGACGCCTGGATTGAGGAATCCCAGAGCAGGGGATGGTAAAATCCTAATTAGTGACAAGGAAGTACCTAACCAGGCTGCCAAACAGCGAGCGGAGGATTTTAAATGTGATGAACTGGACAATTGGCCATGTTGGAAAAGATATGGCCAGGGCCTATATGATCCAACGGATTAAAATACTCACAACAGCCGTCATGACAGTGAGGTAGGATATGCCCTAAGACGTCCTATCAGCCCCAAAAAACTGGTAGTTTTCTTGAAATTTCTATAGCCAAGCCATAGCCCATGTTTGACCATCAAACGCTAGTGGATCATTTTGATCTCCAAATCTAGATGATTATCAGAGAGTAAATGGATAAATTTCAGTTGTAAAAGAAAGTGGGTAAAAGCTATTAAGCCTTGTTATTGCACACTAGATAAGAGAAGGTCCTCAAATGACAGGCGATCATGTGAAAAAAAATGAATTGGGCGATGGTATTGGCATTCCCTTTCGGTCACATTCCAGACCCCAGTCCACTATGCTATAAAAGGTAATGTCCTTTGAAGTCTTCTTGCATTGACAAGCATCTTCGTAACTAAGTGGTAATCAAAACTTCAAAGGGCCAAAAGGGAAAAAAAACAAAAAAAAAAAAAAAAAAAAAAAAAAAAAAAAAAAAATAAAAAGATGAGAGAGAGAGAAGAGGAAATTAAATGTTGCAGTAGGAGGTAGAATCTTTTTAAAAAAAAAAAAAAAAAAAAAAAAAAAAAAAAAAGAGAGAGAGAGAGAGAGAGAAATTAAATGTTGCAGTAGGAGGTAGATCTTTTAAACCATCTTGTGATCTAAGAAGAGCATAGATTGCTTAAAGATTTTATTTCCTTTTTAGGTTCTTGATCTAATGTTAACAAAAAAAGAAGCTAATGCTTTTCTTTCTTTATACTGCATCGAAACAACTCATTTGGCTGTCTTTTGATTGAAAGAAGGCTAAGAAGCAGAAACCTTCCTCCCTTGAGGAAACAAGAAGAGGATAGAGAGAATCTAAGGTGATTGGGACGTGACAAGTGGGCTTAGATTTTGACATTTCATCGCCCGATTAAGAAAGAAGGTAGACAATGGGTTATATGTAGAGATAGGGAATCAAAGGTTTATTAGTGTTGCATGCAAATGTCTAACATTATGTTTGGTATCAGGTAAAATTTGAGTGAGGAAATGAGGTGGGTGAAAGTAGGATAAGGAGGTTGATTTTTTCTTTTTTGGGTTTGGGAAGTGAGGGGAAAGACGGAGGAAAACAAAAGAGGTGAAACAAAATACTAATAACTTAAGTCCACCATATTCGAATTCTAAGCCAAAAATGGAGTCACTCTGGGAGAAAAATTATTTGAAAATACATTTTTATCCGGAAATAAGTAATGAGTTCATATTGTGATTTCAATTTTCTATAATCTAATTTATTCCGTCATTCCTCATTTTCTCTTCTTCGTATTTCCCCTTTTCCACCGCTCTTTCCCCGAACAAAATGTAAAAGAGGACTTGTTAATGGAGAGCAGTGCTAAGGTGCATTTGAGCAATGTTTAGGAGGGTTTCTCGAGTAGGGTAATTAAAGCAGCAAACCATTTTTTCAACAGGAAAAGGTAACAGTGTCATAGTTGTCGTCCTTCTGAGTTTAGGGTAGCCAGTGATCCCATACATATATAATGTGTATATATTGTAAATCTTCTTTCGTTGGGTTGACCCCACCTATGGGTTATTGGCCATTAGTTCTTGCTGTGATCTTTCTTTAGATTTTGTTTGGATTTTGTGTTCTCACGTGATTCTCATAACTCCTCGCCACATTAAACACACAACTTGCTGCCTCAGAATTAAATGAAAGTTGAAAAGTATATCTTACAAATCTTTCTTGTCGAGAAATAATAAGAACTCTATTGTTCTTGATAGGTTATCTTCGTAGGAGTGATTATATATTGCATTGCATTTTCAAAGAACAAAGATTTAATACATGTGAGTTTTAAGCCTTAATTACGCACTAATCAGATCAAATGCTAAAAAAGAAAGAAAGAAAGAAAGAAATGTGGGTGTGGGAAAGTTGTCTCTGAAATTAATTAATTAATAAAAGAAAAAAAAAAGAAAAAAGAAAAATCACAGAAAACATTCTGTTGTCTCCTGGATTTGAATAACATTATATATATGTATATATGCAAGTGTTTGTGTCAGCCAAACTGACTACTTGGTATGGAGTTTATGTCCTCCAGCTCATTAAAATGGAACTGAGCACGGGCTCCCCATGCAATTGTTTTCTACTGTTTTTGTCTTTCTCATTAGAGTTTTTGTTCTTTCGTTTCACACATCTCCGTTTCTTTACTTCTCTGCAACTCGCAAGGTCCACATCTCTGACTATATTTATGCCTACAATTCAATGTCAAGACTTTTTTTTTTTCTTGTTTTCTTTATTTTTAGTTTGGTTTCTTTTTGTCAAGAAGATGCTTTCTTCTACTATTTTACAAGCAAAGCATTAAGATTTATTTTTATGCTTACCCTCATAATTAGACTTGTAATTAAACTGGCTTACATTAGTGAGACTAAAATAACTTAAATGGCACAAATTCTTTTTGTGCAGAAATATTGAAGAACAAGGCATTTATTAATATATGCAGATAAAGAGGAGAGTATGTAGAAATATTAAAAAAAAAAAAAAAACCTGCACCTAACCCAACCCCACCACATTTGCTTCTCAGTGAAAAAGTGTGGTGAAAATAAAGTGAATTTTGGGAGATAAGAGTCATAAGAGCATCGCTAAGGCCATTCTTTCTTTCTTCCTTTTTTTCCTTTTTCTTTTTTTTTCACTCATAGTGCTTGTGGATTGGATTCACTACTCATCATTACTACATAATCGAATGAATCATATCCCTCGAATGTCCATGCACACGCACTCACTCCCTAGTAGAGTACAGTTCCCTTTCCCTCCCAAACTCAGTCTTCCTTTCAAGGTTCAGACCAAATCATTCACATTTGAATATCTGTCTCCATGAAAATACTTTCATGCACATCTCCATGCAATACCAAAAAGAAACACACCAAATGACAAAACCCAAATAAACAACATATGCTATTGTAAATTCCTTTATTTCAAAATCCTCTGCCATTTTGCAAGTGAAAGAAAATTTTGACCAAGGAAAGGTGAAATTGGACAGATATCTATAAAGAAGAGTTTTGTTTAACAAAGGTCTTTAAAAAAAAAATTAATTTGCATATACACAGTAGCATTCCTAATTAAACAAGAAAATTAAGCAAAAATAAAATGCATTTTTCTGCAAAAACAAAAGGGTTTTCTTTTGGGGGCCCTTTGCTCATCATTCCAGGAATATTTCAAGTTGATCACAGACCCACTTCCCACTTTTTGTCTGGAAGCTGGTGATCCACCTACAATCAAAGTCCTTTAAAAAGCAAATGCAGTTTCTGCTTTTTTTTCCATTTTTGCTACAGTGCCCTAAGTTTTATATTGGATTTGGAGCTGTTGTTCAGTAAGACTGGAGTACTGATTCCTACCTTCTCATGTGTCTTGTGATTTATCTAATTATTATATATATTATTATTATTTAATTTTTGATCTATCCATTGATACAGAAATTTCATCAACATGAGTTACTTGGCACGTGATCAACATGTCATGTCATGGCACCCTAGCTGATAATTTCTTTTTTTTCATCCATATTATATATAATGAATTTTACATGTTACACCTGAGTGGACAATAGTTACAATAATTTGAATTCTCGTCGTGGGCAATATAATCCATTACAAATCCCATCGCATCTAACTGATAATTTAAGTCATATAATTAATTTTATGACATATTATATAAATCAGAAAATGCAGAAAATTAAAAAGACTTGGAACAGTACTAGCACTAGGTCATAAATCTCCTTTTTTTTTTTTTTTTTTTAATAATTAGTTGATATTCTATCGTGCTTATGGTGGTGCTAATATTACGTAGGTTCCCTTATTACGATAATGACTCCCCATCGCAATTCTAACTGGGAATAACTTTAAGGTTCATATATACTATAGAATGTTTATGACGATATATATAATAAAATTCAGGATAATATGCCAGAAAATTTATAAAAAAGACTCCTGGTTAACATGTACTAGCACATAGGTCATAAATCTCTTTTTTTTTTTGGTCTCTTATGGTGGTCGTCATTGTCCACTAACTTCTTTTGCTTTTAGTTTACTAACGATGCTCGTCAAGTATCATCATGATAATATTCCTCTCTTTTTTTTTTTTTTTTTGTTCGTTTGCACTAATATCTTGTTTTTTACACGAGCTCTCAAGTATCATCAATGATAATATTCCTCGCTGATTTAATTTGTGAATTACTAGATTATCCGATGTTTTTATTAAGTTACAAGAGCATGATAAATGAAAGTTATGGCCAAATAAAAAGCATAAGGGCAGAAGAGTCACATCAGAAGACCCACATGAAAAAAGCAAAGCAAAGCAAAGCACAGCAAAAAAAGTTTTTTATCCATATCAACGGTGAGTGAGGCCGACGGGGTTGTGTGTGACCAATATATGGTGACAGATACGGTGGGGAGAGTTTTGTCCGAGTAGTAGAGTGTTTTGAATTGAATTGAAAGCTGTGAACCAAATTGGAGGAGTATTTAAGTTGAAAGGAAAAACAATAGATATAAATTGGATTGCAGAGAGGCACAGAACCAGTGTACTGTATGAAGTGACTGGAGGGACAGATTTCCTGCCCGTCAAATCTATCTAAGGCCCTGTGGACAGTAAAAATAAAGCTAACTAGTTTTGGTTACTGCCCTTTCTCCCTCCCTATTGGCATAGTACACCCACTATATTCAACTGATTATATCGTCTCATTGAGGAGAGAGAATTTTAAAAATAATAATAAAAATTGAAACTTTATGATAAGATTAGTTTTTTCTGGGTGATGACTGATGAGCGACGGAGGATATACTTAAAGAATGATTTTTTTTTTATATATATAGAAGTTAAAGAAAAGGGTTTTGGGGTTATATTGGATCTGGGTTTCTTGTAGGGTTTTAAGGGAGTGGTCTCACTCTTATTAATAAGTCTTTAAGGAAAAAGGTAAGATAAGGAAGCGAGAGATAAAAGCAAAAGACGTGGTCTTTCTCATAAACACAGATCCCTATGGAATGCAGGGGTGCTCCCCAGCATTGTTTACTAGAATTCATTCCTTTTGTTTAGTTTAAAGAGACCAGTTTTGTTCTCTTTAGTGAGAGAGAAAGAAAGAAAGAAAGAAAGAGAATTTTATGGGTGGTTGCATTGAGTGAAGATTTGTTTTTGGGGGAGGGGTCAGAGCCAAAATTTTTACTAGCAATGAGTTCATTTTGCTAGACAACAAAAAAAAAAAAAAAAAAAAAAAAAAAAAAAAGGTGCTTCTCTTCCGCCAGCAATTTGAATTTCACTATAGTGATAATTTTCATTTCCCCTTTTGTGTTCGAGGTGTTCATAAAGAGACCAGCTTTTTGGTGTCTTCTTAGTAGAGAGTAAGAAAGAGACAGAATTCAACATAGTAATGAAGGACGGAATTATTCAATGTGAGATAAGGTGCATGATTGTTGGAAGATTGGTTTTCCTAGCTAGGGGAGGGGTTCAGAGCTCCACAAGAATTTTTACTAGCAATGAGTTCAATTTTGCTTATATGGTACAACTCAATGAACAAAAAACAATAAAAAAACAAAGTGAAATAAATCAATCAAAAAAAATTCGAAATACCATCCAAGCTTTCATATGGATAAGTAAGGCAAATTATTTGTATTGAAATGTTAATGTTTTATTTCCCTCCCTATATGATTGAGTTGGCTTGCTGCTAATTTGTAGTTGTAGACTAGATACTTGTAAGGTAACCTTCTGTAGTAAAATGACAAGCAACCCCAAAAAAAAAAAAAAAAAAAAAAAACAAAAAAAAAACACCAAGCTTTCATATGGAGTAAGGCAATTGATTTTGGGTATGATTAGTTTATTTCCTTCCCAATGATTGAGTTGGCTTGCTGCAATTGAGTGAGAGATACTTGTAAGGAACCTCTGTAAGTAAAAGAAAGCAAGAGAGAGAAAGAAGGCAAGAAGATGAAATCTTTGAATGATAATAACAATGGAAGCAATAATAATAATAGTAACTGGTTGGGTTTTTCTCTCTCGCCCCAAATGAAAATGGAGGTTGCTTCTTCTGACCCCCAACATCATCATAACCAGTACCATCATGAACCCGAAGCTCCTTCTGTTGCAGCTGTTTCTGTTTCCAGTTCTGTTCCAACAAGCTTCTATTTGTCTACTTCTCACTTCAACACTCCTGGAATCTGTTATGGAGTTGGAGAAAGCGTTGGCTTTCACTCTCCTTTGTCTGTTATGCCACTTAAGTCTGATGGGTCTCTCTGTATTATGGAAGCTCTAACTAGATCACAATCTGAAGGTTTGCTTCTTTTTCCTTATTTGTTTCATGCCTATCTTAAAATTAGGATATTCTTTTCTTTTCTTTTCTATACTAAACCAGTTATTTTCTTCAATTAGGGATAGTATCAAGTTCCTCACCGAAGCTAGAAGACTTTCTAGGTGGTGCAACTATGGAAAACCATCAATATAGTAGCCACGGAAGGGAAACAATGGCTTTAAGCTTAGACAGTATGTATTATCATCAGAACACGCAACCAGAAACCAACAGGCAACATTCTCTTGACCTCCATGAGCCCTATAGGCATCAGGAAACGCACTTTTCAGTTCAAAGTCATCCATATTATAATGGAATCGCATGTCATGGAATGTATCAACCTCCATTAGAGGAACAAACCAAAGATACCCATCTTTCTGACTGTGATTCACAGATCCCCACAATGGCAGATGATGGAATGCCTTGTTTAAAGAACTGGGTTGCGAGACATTATTCCACTCATAATGCACTAGAGCAGCAGATTAGCAATAGCTTGGTTGATGAAGGAGGAGCTTCTGGTTCTGTTAGTGCTCTGGGTTGTGGAGATTTACAATCTCTTAGCTTGTCCATGAGTCCTGGTTCTCAATCCAGTTGTGTTACAGCTCCAAGACAGATTTCACCTACTAGTACTGAATGTTTGGCTATGGAAACAAAGAAAAGAGGACCTTCAAAAGTAGGCCATAAGCAACCTGTTCATAGGAAGTCTATTGACACATTTGGGCAAAGAACATCACAGTATAGAGGTGTTACCAGGTTAGTAATGAAAAACTGTTATTTTTTAAAAAAAATTTGGGTTTATTTCTATTTACTTTCTACATTTTTTTAATTCAGTTGTTATTTTGTATATACCTTAAGCAATTAGCTCTTCTGAAATTATAATCATCTCACCCAGGCACAGATGGACGGGTAGATATGAAGCCCATCTATGGGATAATAGTTGCAAGAAGGAGGGCCAGACCAGGAAAGGAAGGCAAGGTTGGTCAAAACAAAATAATACATTTACAGTATATATTTGGAAGTATTGCTTTTCTCACTACAATACTTGGTCCCTCTCTGTCCTCCTGGCCTGACTCATGTTATTTAATTCTTACTTGTCATGTTTATGCTTCGTGTGGATGCTATTCCTGTCAATGTTGAATTTTTCAGTTTATCTTGGTAAGTTTTCTATTTTTTATTTGTGAACAAAACAATAATAAATAACCTTATTATGATGTTAATCCCAATTTGTTACCATTGGACTTGCAGGAGGCTATGATATGGAAGAGAAAGCTGCAAGGGCTTATGATCTTGCTGCCCTTAAGTACTGGGGACCTTCTACTCACATTAACTTTCCGGTAATTATATTTTTACTGTTTGTAAGGGTAATTTCCTCTGCATTACCATCTTTTTTTAATCAAGGTCATCCTTTTCTTTATGTTTCAGCTGGAAAATTATCATGAAGAGCTTGAAGAAATGAAGAACATGAGCCGACAGGAATATGTTGCGCATTTGCGAAGGTAACTACATGATTTGTCAACCATAAAATGGAGATACTTATATGTGGTCCTGATACATTAATTATTGATATTAATGGTTTTACATTTATTTATTCTTTTTCTCCTTTGCGTTACAGGAAAAGTAGTGGGTTTTCTAGAGGGGCCTCAATGTATAGAGGAGTAACAAGGTTCTTATTAGTAACATTAGTGAAGTTTCATAGTTTATCATTTTTCAATTTTGTCTTGTTTTGAAAATTTTGTTGCATCATCTTTATGCAGGCATCACCAGCATGGAAGATGGCAAGCAAGGATAGGCAGAGTTGCAGGAAACAAGGACCTTTATCTTGGGACTTTCAGTAAGTTTGTTATATAGTCATCTAAAATAATTCTCCAATATGTTATGTGGGCTATATTCTTTTCAATCATTCTCATTTCAAGTTCAAATTTTGTTGTGCTCCTGCTCATAAAGAACTTTTAAAAGGACTCGTTTTTTATGACACATCCGCTCGCATGTCTCCACTAAAGACTAGTTATGCTTTTATAAGGCTGATGATAGCTACTTTGCGACTGCACAATACCATGCCTCTGATTTGAGTAACCTTTCAACCTTTTTTAAGGCTGTTTTCCTCGGTTGAGATGATAAAGAAGAATAAAAAGTATTTCTGACTAAAATTCTTGATTAAAAGACCAAATCTTGAAGTAACTGTAGTCTTTTATACTAAGTTGTAGATTTCTCTTAAAAAAGTTTTTTCATGTTTTTATCGAACCAAATTCTAGGCACCCAGGAGGAAGCGGCTGAAGCTTATGATATTGCCGCAATCAAATTTCGTGGGGTTAATGCTGTTACTAACTTTGACATAACAAGATATGATGTTGAGAAGATCATGGCAAGCAATACTCTGCTAGCAGGAGAGCTAGCTAGGAAAACGAAAGAGACGGAGACGAGTAGTGGGGCTATTGAGTATAACCCGTCAGCACAAAACAGTGGAGAAACAATACCAATTGAGAATAGCAATGGCAATGGCAATGACTCAGATTGGAAAGTAGTTCTATATCAGTCGCAGCAGCAACAACAGACGAATGGTTGTGTTGATTCTCTTGATCAGAAATCGACAAGTGTAGGGAATTATCGAAATTCCTCCTATTCAATGGCAATGCAAGATTTGATTGGAATTGATTCACTTAACTCAAGCCAGCCTTTAGTGAATGAAACAAACTCGAGATTAGGGACTCACTCGTCGAACACATCATCGTTGGTTACTAGTTTGAGCAGTTCAAGAGAAGGTAGCCCTGATAGAACTGGAACTGCAATGCTGTTTGCTAAGCCTCCATTAGCATCAAAGTTTATTAGCCCTAACAGTGGTGTTACTCCATGGTTCCAATCTGCAGCTCAGCTTAGGCCTACTGCAATCTCCATGGCTCATTTGCCAGTTTTTGCAGCTTGGAATGATACCTAAAAACGCTCTCATGTGTACTATTGTCAAAACAGGTTTTTGCATGGACATGAAAGAGAAAAGAAAAGGAAACAAATGTTGTTGGAGGGAAAAAGAACGGAAGGGACCGATTAGGATTTTTCATTATGTTTATCTTTTTAGGTTAGGTTGTTAGTGGAGCGAACTGGTGAATTAATGAAAGACAAAGGTGGGCGGGCCCAACTATCTTTTGTGTAAGAAACTTTTGTCAAAATATTGGAATGAAAGATTTTGCAAAATGGAGGGAAGTGATTAAGAGAGATCTGATGATTAAAATTCTGTGGAAATGATGTTGGCAATATAGAAATTGGGCCTATTATAATTACTGAATCTTCTTTTTTCCCTCTTTATTTTCAACTTTTTAAGGTGCTCCTAAGTACATAACCAGCTCAATGTTTTGCAATAATGCAAAAGCTTTTCACTTTGACCCCAAAAACACAATCATTGCAATACTCTTCTTTATCTGAGCTTTCCTCTATCGCAACAGACATTCCCACTAGTGGTGGGAGAGATTCTTCCTCTTCAAAGTGACGACTTTAATTAGGGTTTATATTTTAGTTGGGAGTTTGTCTGCTAGGTCATATTTATTTTTTAATTTTGTGTGTAAAGTGGGTTTGGTTAAAAATTGCTTTAGCTTTTTCTTGTTCTTCCCACTTGATATACCGCACGTAAAAGCTATTCCATGTCCGATTGAGATCTCCCTCGTGTGGACACTGCTTGCGCTCATGTGTCAAAGCTAATTGATTACATCTTGACTAATGTGGGATGTAATAAATATGACAACGAGGATTTGCTGCCGGAAAAGCTGCCTCAATTATATCTCTAAATTCCAAATTACAACAAATTTCATCGTCAAACAAAAAATTATTTAAGCTTTAAGACGAAAATTAGTGTCAGTGAATGTAAACTAATATGACAATATCTTTGATCATAATTAAGGTTAACCCAGTGTATAAAATATTCTATATTTATAGATTTTGAAGAGAATTGATATATGCAATCACTGGCCCTTGTATAGTTGTCTTAAAATATAAAAGCAACCATGGAGCGAACTTCAGTATCATTAAATTGGGTAATTAATTAACAAAAGTTTGCAAGTTGATCATAGTTTTAAGTTATAAAACAAGAGGTTATGATTCTATTTTAGTATCAATCTCTCTAATAAATTTAAATATAAAAATAAAAAATTGTTATCATCGTATTCCTACCCCATGTCTAGCTAGCTAGCTACTCCAATAATTAGTATATATAGTTATTGAGAAAAAGTCATTATTTCTAATTGCAAATAAAAAATGATTGGCTACAATAAAGATTGCTCAAAGTAAAGGTTTATATTTGTCTTTTTTTGGTTATTAGCTTTATAAATTTACTACTAGATGTTAAAAAATATATATATGTCCTATAATGGGTTTATGCAATTCTTTTTTTATTATTTATTTTAAGACCAGTGTCTAGTGAAGTACTTCATGCATGTGTTACTATTGCATGATAAAACTAAAGTCTATGATCTAAAATAAAGCTTGTTCTATTCTTCAATTCCCTTTTCTTTTTGTTTGGAATTAAATGCCCTACAGATTGTAATCACCGAAAATGAGTACCTGTCAACATAAAAAAAGCCAATTGCTAGGACAAAAATACAAACTTTGATTGGACAATGAAGAAATAGGCACGTAAAGGAAACCGAAAAATCTCCAAACCAACCATAAAAATGGGAAATAAAGAAAAAAAGGAAGGTCCACCACGTCCGTTTGATGGTCAAAAAGATTGCAATTCATGAAGAAAAAGATTATAAAGTGGATAGGTACTTGTCATTTTTTTAAACACAAATAATAATAATAATAATAAAGTTTATGTAAATTTCTTCAAATCCCTTTAATCTTAGTCAAAAACTATAATTACATGCCTGTTGTTGACAGCTTGTATTATTGCCAGAGCAATTAAACAAAGTTCGTGCAAGACAGCATTGGAAAAGCAATGTGCTATATCTAAACTTGCACACGAGCTAGCAGCGGATTTTACATGGGATCTCATAATTTCAAACGTTAATTAATCATGGAAGTTCATGTCATTAAGCTAAATAATTATATGTTTTCTCTTCAGCAGATCTGGATGCACATGCAGAATATGCCAAAACACATACATAAAAGAAACTTTGGATGGTACTTACTGTTTGTATATATATGCTTCCTTGGATCTCAACCTTTGGTTAAATTATTACGTTAATGCCATTGCTTTCAGTCGCAAATATACTACTTAGTTAGTATTTGGACCCTAGGCTTCCTATTTTGCATTTTCAATCTTCAAAAATTAAGGGGGAAAAACTCAAACAGTAGTTTGATTAGGGCCATAATGTGAATTGTTCTTTTTAATGAAATGTGCATTGACATAGAGAAGTATATTTCTAAAAACATGATATGGGGTTAGGAAATTCTTGCCAAAAAAGCTAGTTATTCCATGTTATTTGGCAATGTTTTAATTCACTCGCATATTTTATATATATGTATGTAAACAGGAATATAGGTTGCTTATCAACTTAACTCACACCTTATTGGTAAATGAATCGCATTTTTAACCAAACTGATGACGTAAATTTAATATGCTTAATTAAATCTAATTTGTAGTATGCATTACCAAATCACCTTAAGTCAAAAAATAAATTTAGTTAAGTTTTTTTATTGTTATCCGGAGTTGCCACACCATTCAAATTAAAAATAGAACTAAAAAAAAGGGAAAAAAAATCTTCTTTTTATGTTCCAAACACATTTAAACATATCATTCATATAAATTATTAAAAAAGAAATTAAAAGATAACTTTGGTGAATTTTTTTTATCAGCAAAGATAATTTCATTCTATTTATTTTTTTGCATCCAAACCTAACACTTGGATGTATCAAGTAAAAATACATGGTCAAAACATCTTAATTAAATTGTAGTGTAGTCGAGTTGTTGACATCTTAAAATGGTCCCAAAATTTGGCATTGGACCCCAACGGGTAGAGCTAACGTAACAGGTGATTGGAAGATTAAAATCAAAGGCTTATGTTTATAATTACTCTGTCCAATAGAATTGAATTGATGATACGTACAGATATCCATATTTGGATGTTTGTATTTGGGAGTCTGTTTCTCCAAAGGAGACCTCTGCCTCTGCTATTTTCTGGCTTTTCCTTCAACCTCACCCCTCTCTTATTCTACACTTTCACGCCATAGCTTCCACTACATGACAAATGCTGTTAGCTAGCCCTAATCACCCTTATCAATTTTTATCTATCTAAAATTAGTTTACGCATATTCAATTTCTAATTATTAAATAGAATATTGAGCAAGTTAAGCTACAATTGCTAACGCGTAAGCTAGCACGAAACCCCACCATGGGCATTAATTACCGTTATCGTCATCATCTCCATTTCTCATAAATATGTTGTTGCAAGTTTTTGTCACTTCTTACACCAAACTTGTCCCCCATCTCTCAAGCACACACCAAACTATGACATGCTAATTAATTATCATGCATTTCTTAATGCCACCCTTCTCAAATTTATAATTACTTTCTGCAGTTCAAGAAAAAAGAACTTACTTCCCACTTTTCAGTTTTCACCATTCCATCCATGCACATAATTCGTCAGCTTTCAAAAAAATCACGACGATGGTTAATCTAATTAACATTATTAGTTTTAAACAGGTAGTTAAGGTTAATCGCTCGTTGTTGCAGAGAAAGAAACGCGTTTCTTGTTGAGCTAGCTACAATGGCAGATAGGTATATGTGTAGGGGGGCAGAGAGAGAGAGAGACAGAGGGACGGGCTGAGGGGTGAGGGTCAGGTTTATCAGGGCTTTAGGAATCAGGACAAGGACGATTGGACGTGTCAACGTCCCATATCTAACTAAGAATCTTTTGGACCAAGTCTTTGTTGACTTTTGCTTTTTGCACCTCGTGATCTCCTTCTCTCTCTTGTCTGTTAAATGTTTGATATCTATTTTTTTTCTTTCAATGAGGTACTTCCACGTGGGATTTGTACGCCGTCACTGTTACTGTTTCAGCCGTAACCGTCGTTGCGTGAGTGCCTTTTGTCCTTGAAATTTTTATATTACCGCACATACAGCATAGGCTATGGTCATAGAGGGTGGCGTAGATTCAGCTCGTAGATAAAAGTGGTAAAAAATATCTCCGCTCTGTATTTTACACGGCCAGTTACGGAACCGTTAAAAGGGATCTGAACAGTAATAATTCATTATTACCATTCAGCGGCAAAATTATAATTTTACTATATTATTTTTTTTAATTAAAAGTTTTCCTAAAATAACCTTTTCTTAATTTTTTTTTTATAAAAAGATTTTCTAAATAGCTCATTTATTATTATTTGATTATAATAATAATAAATTTAATTAAAAATAATATTTATAAAACTAAATTATATAGTTTAGAAATTGAAAATTTTCATATTTACAAGGATGAGTTGTTGTGACTAATTTGTTAGCTTTTTAATTATAATAAATTTGTTAATATTTAAAAATATTTTTTTCTCTCTTTAAAAAAGAAAGACTGTCATGTTCTTTTAAATAGTTTAGGTTTTCCTTTTAACCATAAAAACTTTTTTCATTAATTGATTTTTTTTATTGCCTCAAACATAAACAAAAATTTATAAACTATTTTCTAAGTAGAAATAATGTTTTGTTCTAGTGTAAGAAGAAGAAAACCGTTTGTCAAATATGATCCAACATGATAGAATAATTTATCATGCCATTGGCAATGCCGAAGTGGTACTAGCTAGCAACGACATTCTTGAACTCAAAACTGTTTATTTACTATTATAGGTCAGCTTCATGTTTATTAATGAAGCAAAAAGTTTCCATTTTTGAACTCGAAATTTCTTTCACTTGATTCGACAAATTGAGAAATATCTGAATAACAAATTAAAACTCTGAAAATAAAATTAATTAATTGTGGGTTTCGCCATTATTATTGTTATTTAGTTTTTATTGCAGCTGGCAAGGGGAATTTAAAATTGTGAGGTGGAAATAATATGCCCTACAGATTGTAATCACCGAAAATATGTACTTTTTGAAAGAAATGGCAAAAAACTGTGTCAAGAAAATAAAACAACACTGATTAGACAATGAAAAGGAAAGACGCATGTATAAAGCGAAACACTCCAACAACTACAACGACAAAGCCAAGAAAAAAATAAAATAAAATGGTCAGATCAAACAAATGAACGATTGATAGTCAAAAAGTTTCCAATTCATCATTATGAAAATATAAATATATATATATAAAAATTAATATAGAACAAGACATCAATTTCTTCCAACCTATATTATGATTCAGTTAAGTCAAAGATTGAGATTTATATTACGTTGTTTACAGGTTGTATTGGTGAAAGAAACAAACTTCGTACAAGACAGCAGTGGAAAAGCATGTCTTAACCTCAGTTTTTGTTCTTAATTATGCCTGATTAGCGCGTATATATAGTAATAATCGAGCACAATTCAAAAACCTTAATTATTATGTTCATGGCTATAAATGTCTGACTTTAAGGAAGGTACATAAGGAAATTTATACATACATAGTACGTGTCTTATATCTGTCTCGTGTACAAAAAATCTCAATTTATACATACATTGTAAAACTGAGATACCAAATAGGTTGTTATATACGGCCCCTAACATGTTGAACTATCTAAAAACTTCATTAATGTGAAAGTGGACGGCGAGATAAATGATTATTTATAGCAACCCTCCGATGATTTTCATTATGGTAATTCTTATATCAAACGAAAGGAAGAAGATTTTTTCACATGACAGACTGTACGCTTACGAAGAGATGGTCCATACAAAAACCAAAGAAATACCCTGTTGGAGGAAAAGTCACAAAATGGTGAGAGGTCTCCCTACAAGAAACAGACTCCCTTATGCAAACATCCATCGTCTTATTTCTCTATCAGACTGTTGGACCATATGTACAGACACCACCCCACCTGTTTGAGCCATGCAAGGCCAACGAATGAGACACAGCCTCCTATACATATTGGGACCATTTCTCATATCTATATTGAGTTTTTTAGTCCTCCAATTTTTTGAATGTGAAATGAGAGTATTATAGAATTATATGCATCCCCATTCAAAACAATATAATAACAAGGATCCTTTCTCTATTAATCAGGATTTTCAAATTCAAATATAGGTATGAAACATTTTTAAACTTTGTAAGGAATGTTTTATCCTTATGGGCCTATCCAGCTGCTCAAATCTGAATTAGTGAGAAAAGTGGATTTCCGACACAGATGATTTAAAAAAATAAATAAATAAAGCAATTAGAAAATGTGACAAATTTAGGTTTGTGTTTGTAGTTGAAGGTGAAGGTATAGCTGGGCCCCTAGTGTTAAGGCTTTCTTGGTAAAACGAACTTCGTAGTTGGGACAACCTTATATGTTTGGTCCATAGATCTCTTCATTTGCTGGATGGGCCACTTTTGTCATTGCTTATGAAGAATAGGTTGGATGTGGCCCAAGCTATCAAGGCTTTAAACTTAATGAGAAATTGAGAATGGGCCTTCATATTGAATAGGATAAGATTGGTTTAAAATCAAACCACTCTCAGCTAATTTAAATGGCGATTTCCGAACATTTTGGTTTTAGTTTAGTCTCGATTTAGAATCAAAATCAAACTACAATTTTTTTTTGGGATTTTTTTTCTTTTTTTATTTTTAGTTTTGCAGCATCAATAAATAATAATAGTAATAAACAAGTAACAGTATTAAAAAGTTTAATAAAAACTCATAAAATTTATTTAAATAATATAAAAAAAGCATTTATTTGCTAAGATTTCGAACTGAAACAGCTGATTTTTGCTTAAAAAATGAAAAATCGGCATTAAATCTTAGATAAACCATTGTGATTTAAATTGTTTACCACAATTCACTTTCAATTTGAAATCGAATCATGGTCATATCAACGAATGGAGAAGTACTTAAATTCTAACATAGGAGATTATGGTTTTAAACCCCATTAATTTTATGAACATAGTTTATGTTAGTAATTTTTCATTTTATTTTGTAAGAAGAGAATAATTCTCTCGATTCATTTTCAAAAATAAATAATTATCGAATTTTATGGATTTCGTTCCTGATTATGACTTTACAATTAGAATAGCAGAAGGGTTTACATTGTTAACCAGTTTACAGTGATATAGTTGTACAAAGCAAACTAACTGAGCAAGAAGTGGAAACATTTGCAGTAGACGAACAAATGATGTCTTTGAAGAAAAGGGTCAGTTAATATTACATTACATACATCTGCAAGTCTTTAGGTCTTGTCTCTGTAACCAGCGTAGTAAACGGAAGGGAAGTACGTTCAACTTACACTCACACATATATATATATAATATCTCTGGCATAGAGAAGAATTTGCAGAAACTTCTTTATGAGGAAAAATCAATGGCTGAAAATGATTGTTTATTTTGAGTGTCGTCATGGCCATGGGTTAGATAATCGACATATATAAATAGCAAAGCAAGCATCATTATTTTCAGTTTCCTTAACAGCAGCCTTTCTGCTTTTCATAGTTCTAAAGTGAACGAAACTGCATTATGATTACTTCTCTTCTGCGCATGCTTCCATTGGATGAGATGTTTTTCAAGATTCTTTTCTTTCATTTTCTCTCTGAACTTAACCCTCCATGATGGGATTCTTTTATGAGTTGTAGTGTGTTTTTTTAGCATCTTTAGTTTAATTATTAGTTTAATACTTTTTAACTTTTTGTAAAGAAGAGATAATTAAGAAAAGAAAAAAGCTTTCTTTAAAAGTATAAATCCCAAAAAGACCAGCACTAAGCAGTAAGCATGGGGTGTTAACTTTGTAAAGCAACAAAGAGAGAGTGATAATAAGTGATGATTTCTATTCTAAGAAAATATAGGGAGGCACAAAACTTGTGAGATTCTTTTTATCTTAGCTTAGGTATCAACCCATCATTGCTAGCTAGGGAGGACCACATCTTGTGGACCAGAGGGTACTAGGCCCACCCACAGCTTGACACTTGTCACACGCGTGATTGTTGTGGGGTCTTGTTTGATTTGGGTTTGTTGATGATATTCAGATTGTTGATCGACCGTTTCAGCAACTAAATCACTTGTGCTTAAGAGGAGGATCTTTGATCACACACCTTTTTCATTTCATTGGATCATATAATCAAGGGAGATTATCATATAAATCATTTCTTTTTTTTTTTCAAATTTTATCTGTCACTTTATTCTGTTTCTTATTATAATTGATATTGTTTCAAATAACATTATGAGCTATACGAGAATAGTAGCTTTCCTCTTAAATTATCAAATTCGTAAAAATTTTTATAGTTTCGAATTCAAAACATTACTTTATATAATTACAAGAGAGCAACAGTTTTTCAAATATGAAAAACATATCTTTTTTTACCTCAATTAGACGATTAGGAGTAATAAAATTGTGTATGAAATACTCTTAATTAGTTTACAAGAACCTAGTCCTACGTCTCGAAACTCACTTATACAAAAGAATATTGAAATATATATCGCCTATTTGCATAAATGCCGAATTATATATTAAAATTCTATCGTTCATATAAATTCATCTTTCACGTATTTAAATTTTTTCCCCGCCGATTATATCAATAATTGTAGATTCTAGTTTTTTAGTAATTTAACAATCAATACAATAATTTAACATTGTTGAAAAGAAAGATGATTAAAATTTTAAACATAATTATTCACTTTCTAATGATCAAAGCATTACCATACTTTTAATCTAAATAAAAATGAGTAATGTTTTTGCAATTTCCACAATCCGAAAACAAACAATCCATTGGAGTCCAAGAAAAAGTTTGGAACCCCTCTATACCCTAAGGCCAACAGTCTGTCCCGCTTTTAAATCGTACCCTGAAGAATGATTTGGTGTGAGTACCCACATTGATTAGTTCGGTGTACCATCTCAATCATCATATCTACATACTGATTTTGACTAGGCAGTCCCTTCACCTGGGGTCCACTCCCCATATCGTACAAAATCAAATCACTTCAATCTCACCCTACTATTAGTTCATTTCAAAAAACATGATACAATTTAATCAATCAACTTAGTGTTAATTCTTACAGTGAGGTGGCTCACACTGGATTGTGATTTTTCTGTTTGAAAAGCAGAATTAGCCGCTAATCTCGGAATAATAATTTGATTAATACAGCAAGATCACAGCCGGACCTTATGTTGACCAGATAATTTGGTTTGACCAGGTAGGTTAGGCACAGGAGGGACTACTCTAACATCTACAGCTGGAAACTGTACCAGGACAAGAAGGTAAAATTCATGATTAGATTCCATTATTCCTTATGTTCTTCTTTGCCAAAGTGAAAATTATAAATATAAATATAATATAAGAAAAGAAAAAGATTGCTGCAGGTAATATTTAATTTAATTTAATAAAAAAGAAAAAAAATACATTGGTTATATAAAAGAATGAGAACCTTATTGTATGTTTTGTAATCAGAGTATTTTTCTGCGTTGTCAAATCAGAGCCAGACACCTGTCCCACAAGCGCCTAGGTGACTAAAAATAAAAGTAAAAAAATAAGTATGTATTTGTACATGCGCCAATGTGGCCCACAGATTGAATGGTTAATGGAGAGGGATTTGGTGGGGCCATGTGATGAGGGACTGGTGGAGCTTCATGGAGAGTGATGAAGGTTAGATGCATAATGAGTCTTCTCAAAAGAAATGAAAGGGGTTGGGTTAGTTGGCACTGAGAAAAATGAGTGTGTAACAGCAAAGAGAGAGGCCTGTTAGAATAGTTGGCAAATGTGTCGGTAAAAATATACATAATATGTATAAAAAAAACATTAAAGAAAGGGAAGAAAAGAAAGTAATATGTCAAAGAAGCAAGCTTGGGGTTGAAGAGAAGAACCTCTCCAATCTCATCTCAGATAAATATTTTTTAAAAAAAAAAGGAAAAAAGGAAGATTTTAAAAAAGTTTCTAATAATTTTAGATTAAAAAATTATTTTAAAAGAGAAGGAAGGAAATTACAAGGAGTAAAGTGATTAGGTTCTGTAATAATTTAGCAAGCAAGAGCAGTTGGGCAGTAGTTAGTGTGTCTTTTAAAATCATACATGTCACCTGTTGGCTTGAGCAGGTAAGCCAAGGCGTCTCTCTCTCTCTCTCTCTCTCTTCTTTTGTGCATGTTTTTCTCTCTCTTGTTAATGTCTTTCTAGGTTCATAGGGGAAGTCTACATTGTCTGTGATCTATTTGAATAATAAAGGTTGGTATTTGATTCTTGCTTTACTGTTTGTGGAAATACCCAATTGGTGAATTTGGTTTTTCTTGTCAAATTTAAGCAAGCATTTGATGCTCTTGGAGGTACTATCAAATGCCCATTTAGGGGACTGTGAATGAAACTCTGTTTCATTTCGGTTTTTGCATAATTCAAGTAGAATTTGATGCTTTTTGGCCTTATCTGGAATCCCATCTGAGAATATCTCAAAAGGTTCTCTGCAACTTCCCTTTTCTTGGTTACTTGGGGTTGTTGGCCCTTCTGATTCAAAACTTGAACAACTAATCTTTTCAATTCTCTACCACCATTTTTTTTTTTCTAATTCCATATTCACCCCTTTAGAGTTTTGAGTTCTTCCTCCTGAGTTAGCTCCTAAATGAAGAGATTCAAAGACTGCTAAATGATATTACTAATACATTGGTGTATTAAATGAGTGGAGCTGCTTTCTTGTGCAAGCAAAAGTGAAAAGGGAATCTGCTTTCCTTTTGTAAGGTCTGGTGAGCTGTTAGTTGGCTAATGCAATTGTTTGTCTACGTCTACTTTATGCTCTGAAAGGTTCACTTTCTTGTCTGTGGGAAGCATTTTCCGATTTTTGCCTTGCATATTAGAGTAGACTTGATTCTAGGGTTTTTGAAAGACCAAGTTAGTAGCTGGTGCTGGTTAGATTTTATGCTTGATACATTGGATTTCCTCTTTTTCACTTTGTGTGTCCATGGGATGCTGCATTGAGGTGTTTCTTTTACTTTAGCATCCCCCCAGTTCTATAAAGCTGCCAATGTTACTTGTTCCTTGTTGAGTCCTGCAAGATATCACCAGCCAATTTTGGTCAAACCCACTTTGCCTTTAATTTTTTTTTTACTTCTTTCTATTTTGTGTCTATATTTAGCTTTTTATTAGCCAATCTGTTGGGTTGGGGTGTCCACAAAATCATAGATAGGTTTTGTTCCTTAGAATTTGGGGGGTTTTGCTTTTGAATCTACCACAACATGGGCAGTACTAGTGATAACAATGATGGTATGGCGTTTCAAAGTGGAGGGCAAAGTGTTATGAATTGTCAGTCTTCAGGCATGACCACAAATCCCTTCTTTGCTTCTCCTGCTTGGGATCCAGTTGTTTCACTAGGTCAGCATGACAGTTTTGGAGGTTCATCAATGGTCACTCAAACTGAATTTACCAATTCTTCTTACCCTGTTGTGATGGAAAACCAGGGAATCACTACCACTTCCCATCTTGTTCATTACCCATCTGATTCAAGTTATGTTGAGCTGGTACCCAAGTTCCCTTCTTATGGAAGTGGAAGCTTCTCAGAAATGGTTAGCTCCTTTCATCTCACAGATTGTGGTCCCCAGATTGCCAATACTGGGTCCCATCCTAATTACGCCTCAAACAAGGACCCGAATAGTGAAAGGACTGTGACAAATGGTGCACAATCTCAAGAGGATCATCAATTAACAGAGGATCATATTTTAGGAGCTTCACCTGATGGAAAGAGAAGGAAAAGATTGGCTGAGCCCAATTCTGCTTTTGATCCAAATAAGGTCTTTTGGCATTGCATCTGTTACCAGCCATGATATCAAATTCAGCAGTTTAAAAAGATTTATCTGTTTGAACTGTTTTGTTTTTAATTGCAGACTGCTGAAGGAGAGCCACAGAAGGATCCTTCTGGAAATAGCTCTGATTTTCAAAAAGAACAGGATGAGAAGAAACCAAGAACTGAACAAAATACAGGTGCTAATTTGCGGGGTAAACAAGCAGCCAAACCAACTAAGGACAATTCTAACAGTGGAGAAGCTCCCAAAGAGAATTACATTCATGTGAGAGCGAGAAGGGGTCAGGCTACCAATAGCCACAGCCTTGCAGAAAGGGTACCTTCTTACTATATGTATAAAAAACTATAAGAACATGATGTTATCATATTTTTATTGAAAACCAAGTCTGTTTATGCAGGTCAGAAGAGAAAAGATTAGTGAGAGGATGAGATTACTACAAGAACTTGTTCCTGGATGCAATAAGGTAAATTTTCTAGTTGACGATCCTTTTTTTTTTTTTTTTTTTTTTAGACCCACAAAGCTAAAGAGGACATGATTCGTGAGAAGCGCCAGTGGAGAGAGAGCTGCCCAAAGAGAATTAATTCAAATGTGAAAAGCAGAGGAAGGGGTGCGAAGGCTAACCCGAATTGAGCCAGCAGGCGCTTGCCGAAAGGGTACCTTCTTGACTATGAATGTAGAATAAGAAAACTGAGTGAAGGAAGACGGTGATGTTAGGTGATAGTTTTGTGTAGTATTCGGAGAAAGGCCAAGTCTGTTTTATGCAGGTCGAGGAAGAGAAGAAAGAGTTGAGGTTGCGAAGAGAGGGGAATGAGGTTAGCTACAAGAGCTTGTGTCCTGGGATGCAATAGGTAAAATTTTCTAGTTGAAGACGATGCCTGTTGTTTTTGTTTTGTTTTTTTTTGCTGAAGAGATAAAGGAAAAGGAAGCGCTGATTGGTAGTGGCTTGATCTGGTGTTGTTTTAGATTAACTGGAAGCAGTGATGCTTGACGAAAATCATGGCAATTATGGTTGCGAGGTATCATGTGCACAACAGGGTCGAGGTATTTAGCTCAGCGCTGTTTCGTAGATCATCATGTGCAGATAATGTTGAGAATGTAAGAATTCATGTGATTACCTCCTGTGAAGAACATTATAGGGTCGCGCCCCTTTAGGAGCTAGTCTTTGGAGATGATTGAAGGGCATTTGAAATTTTTTTTTTTTTTTTTTTTTTTTTGTGAAAAATAAAAAAGAACGCTGATTAGTGTTGATGGTTTGTTTTAGATTACTGGAAAGGCAGTGATGCTTGACGAAATCATCAATTATGTGCAATCATTGCAACAACAGGTCGAGGTATTTAGCTCAGCTGTTCTCAGATCATATGCATAATGTATAAATTAAATTATTGATACCCTGTGAAAACATTAAGGGTCCCTTAGGATAGCTAGTCATTTGAAATGATTGAGCATTTGAAATTTTTGTTCGAGTTCGAGATCGTCAAAACCAACATGGTGAAATTCCCTACGAATTTGCTAGTGAAGTGTTGTTCTGCTGTAGAATCCTATATAAGTTTAGTGGCTGTCTCACCTTTTGGAATGGATAGGAATCAACTGGAGCCTCTTTTACAAGCATGTTTACTCATATGGGTTTTCAAATAATTCTAAAACAGAGAACAAAAACAATTGAGAATTCTATGCTTGTCTATAGAATGCTAAAGAAGTCATTCTGTGGCTTTTAAATGATCAACTGTTTGCGTAGTAATGCTATTAATTTTTTGTTGCAGTTTTTATCGATGAAACTTGCCACTGTGAATCCAGAACTAAACATAGATATTGAGAGGATTTTATCCAAAGATGTAAGCCAAGGTTCACACTATGCAAGATTTAAATTAACTTTTATTCTCTTATGGTATTTTGGATGATAGATGTCCTTGGTTTTCCTTCAATCTAGATCCTCCATCCACGAGGCGGCAATTCTGCTTTTATGGGATTCACTCCTGGAATGAATGCTCATCCTTATTCTCATGGAATGTTTCCATCAACCATTCCTGCTATTCCTAATACTAATCCACAATTTCCTCATGTCCCTCATGTAAGTAAATCACCTTGGCATTGATGCTACTCCCATTATTTGGTTGTTAAATTCTTGCAGTCACCATAATTTGTATATGTCTACAGACTGTATTAGACAACGATCTCCAAAGTCTTTTCCAAATGGGATTTGATTCCAGTTCTGCTATGGATAGTTTGGGACCCAATGGTAATAGTTTTGTGAACTCAAACTTGCGGCTTTTCTGGTGTAAATGAAAGTGAAAGTACAGAACTTGTTTATAAATTGATAGAATTTTATAAAATTGCATTCATGATAGTGAAATCAATATTTTCATTTATGGAAACAAGGCCTAGAATCTTTGCTGTTCTGACAATTAATACTATTATTAATTTCAACAGGGCGCATGAAACCGGAGCTCTAGAATTTGGAAGAGACAAAAGGCTCTAATTCCTCCTAACAAAGAATTGGAAGTAGTTCAAGTTGATTTGCACATTGAAGATCTAGGAAATGAAAAAAAAAAAAAAAGAACAGTGAAAAAAAAAAGAAAGAAAAGCTATTTGCTTGTATAGGTTTCAGCTCCTAACTGCTTTGTTCTTCGAAATTTTAGCAGAAGAAATGATCAAGTGTTTAGAATCACACAAATGTATATTTTTAGACAAAAAAAAAAGGGGAGAGTTTGATTGAAGTTCCATTTTTTTTTTCTTTGGCAGTTGGCCTTGTGAATTAGAGGAGGTTCATATGGAGCTTTGTAAAAGTGTATTTTCCTTGGGGAGAAAAGAGTTTCTTGTAGACTAGATCAAGCTGCCAAGTTAATTCCCATATATACTGCTTTGATGCAGGTTTTGTCATATTTTATCTGAACTGCGACATTGTCTTTAATTTATCTATTTGTCGTTTTTATCTTCGTTTATCTGTTTTTCGTCGCATGGAGGCGGGTCCTATTTCTGTCTGTAAAAACTGTCATTCCAAATTAGTGGGATTCAAACACGATACTCTTCAGTCTTCAGAATTCAGAGCTATTGTGGCTTGTCTGAATTCATATTACCATATATATGTACGCTGCCAATGTGAGCACAGGAACGCTATTGGGCCCATTATCTAGAAGTCCAGCCCATAAACTCACAAATTCCGAACATAAAACCAAACACTTTAATTTATTTTCTGTAAATTTTGTTTATTCAACAATAACTGTGGCTTTCTATTAAAAAAAAAAAAAAAATGGCTTAAGTGATAATGCACACTTTCAGAGGAGAATATCTGAAAAATTAAGGTTTCGGTCTAAATAAAAATAGTCTTCTATATGCGAGGATACTCGTGGTAATTCTAAAAAATTAGGGGTTCAATTTGAATAAAAAAAAAAAATAGTCTTCTATGTATGAAAATACTAGTGGTAAATTAAAAAATATATATATATACAATAAGATAGATCAGGACAATTACAATATTGTCAATACATAAGCTTTCAATTTCTTTGAAATTATGTTTGGTTTGAGCATTTTGAATGATTCATTAAGTGCAGCACTAATGGGATCTTTTTATTCGTGTACTGCAACATTAAAAATGATTGTCATAAAAGTGACAGTCGTTTCTGTTGGACGACTTGTCAAATTGTCCTGGTTGCAATGTAGCGGTGACACTCAGGGCCGCCGTAGCATGCTTTGCTTGCAAGTTGCAACAGCCAGTTAAATAACGCCACATATTAGTTTGGCGCCTCAAAAATTTTGCGTTTCATTTTATTGAAAAAATATAAATATAAAATATAGTTTCATCCTTTTCTGATTTGACGAGCAGTTTCTTCTGTCCTTGTATTACATGGCATTAACTATTACTATTACGGATACAGAAAGGACTCCCATTCGAAAGGCGGTGCAGGGAAAACTTTAGATTCTCAACAAGAATAACACTTAGGAGAAACCCTAACTATGGTTTTAGGGTTTCGCATTTCGAATTGCCATTTTCTCGGGAGGAATCGTTGAGAATTATTACTGTTGAATCATTAATCTATAAGAATATGGGAGGCGACGATATTAGTCGGAACAACGACAAACCGTGGCAGTCGCCGCCAAAAAAACCCAATCAAGAAAAACCGGAGGAGATAAAACTTTGGGGAATTTTTCTTTTCGGTCTAATTGGCGCCACTGCGACCACTTTCGCGGTGAGTTCTATCTCTCATTCTTCCTTTATTTTGTTTATTGTTTGCTTTTTTTTTTTTTTTTTTTAAATTATTTTTAAAATTAATTGGGTGATTAATAATTGTATGTTTTTTTTTTTTTTTTTTTTTAAATTAATTGGGGTTGATAATAATTGTATGTATTTACGGGGAATTTGCCGTTTTTTCGATGATTGCATTTATAAAACATTAGCACAGCAGCAATCAGAAATTGAGTGATTAAGAATTAGTGTAATGTGTAATGCAATCTGGATTTTAGCTATGCTTAGGATTATGTTGTACTTTGGATAACCAATGGAAGAGCAGGACATTGTAAAGTTCTTAGAAACTATCTAACAATTTTGGGTTTCTACAAAATGTATACCCCAATTTGCTTATCCTCAACCTAGAGTAACCTTTTGGATTAGCAAACTAAGGGTTGGGCCTTGGGCGTGTGGTTAAAACATAACTCCTTGGATTCTGTGAGAGTAGATAAGTGGATTTATTGTTGGTGGACAAGTTCTTTAGAGACAACATTTGATGGCTGTAGCAATCTGGCAGGTTGGTCAGCTGCGGAGGACTGTTGATTGGTTCTATACTCAGGTATACACTTACTTATAAATGATATGCGTGGCCTTTTTGTCTTGTTATTGGAAATTGACCTAGTGTAGTGTTGAAAGGAAATCATTTTCTTTGTAGCAACTACATTCGAAAATAACATTCTTCTTTTCCTTATGGAAAAAAAAACGTATAGGATCAAGCTAGTTTAGCTGGTAACAGCGCAGTTTAGGAACATGTTATTGATTTTTTCTTTATCTTTATGACTTGTTCTTCATGCCATCTGCCAAGCTGATGATACATGCAAATGTACCTTACAGCTAACAAGGTCGCACTCATCATGGAAAGGAGGAACTGGAAGTTCTTTTAGGTCAACTTTTCAGGAGGAAGCATGGAAAAGGTATAATCGTCGGATGCAAGAGGAATATGAAGAGGAAATGGAGAGAGTAGTGAGTTTCCTCCCCTTTATATGTTAGTTTACAAAAGCAATTGTTGCTTGTTTAATTTCTTCTAGGTGCCTGCTGATTTTTTTAAGCAAATTTTAGATTGCTTTCCATTTGCATGATTATTTGCTTGGGGCAAAGTGAAAGGTTTTTTTTGGGGGAGTCGGTTGTCATTTGTCAAAAAAAGTAGCAAACAATAAAAATAACGGTTGGATATGGAAAAGATATGAAAGTATCCGTCAAGTTAGTTCCTAGACACTGCTCTGACATTTGAATCCTCCATGAGCTTCTTTTCCACAGTTTTGCCATTTAAATTTGCATCAATGCTTTGACCAGTTATAGCAGGAAGGATATAAAGGCTTGTAGTAAAGATTCAGCTTGAACATGAATTGATTTAGAGTGCACGTCTCTTTATAGTTGTATTTCAGGTTCTCCAATAATAAATAGTCCCCCACACTTGTTCATTCATTTTCTGCCAGCTTCCCTTTTGTACCCCTCTCATTGGTTTAGACTCATGGATAAGTGAATTGGTGTTGATAGTAATTTAAATAAGTGGATTATATTCTGGAAACTCATGCATATATACTATGTAACAATCTAGCAATTATTGTTTAAACTGTATTTGACAGTGCTGGGCTGAGATTCTTGGTGCTAGGTTTAGATAATATTCATGATGTGTTTAGTTATTATGACTTAGTAACTTTTCTCACATTATCTTATTATTTGCTAACTAAACTTTCCCATAAAACTTCTTAAGTGGTGTGTGTATGCTTGAAATTTGGGTTCAAATTTGGCTGACTGGAATAATGAGCATCTGAAAGCCTCTGCGGTTTCCTTTTCTAATTGCACGGTGGAGTTCGTTTGATGAATTACAGATGGTATCTTTTTTGCATGCAAAAACATTGCACTGATAAGCTTACCTTTTTCTTATGGTGTCTAACATCTCAAACTTGCAATTTGGATCTGGTGATATGTAATTGTCCCATTGCAATGTTTCTTAACTGGTTTTGGTTGCTAATATATGATATTATTGTTTGTAGGAACGTATAAGGCGCATGCAAAGTGTGTTTAACCGGGAGAGGAACAAGTACAAGAGAAGCTATGAAAGCTGGAGGGAAAATGGTCCAGGTGCGTATCATGAGCACTTTCAGCGAGATGATTGGTACTGGAAGGCTGATGCATCCTTCAGAGATCAGAGAACTAACTTCAGGACTCCAAGAGAGAGTGCAAGCTACCCATTATCACATCATTATTCAGTTTTGGGCCTTGACAGGTAATGCTAAGAGTCATCAGCACTTTATGTAAACCAAATCCTATGCACCAATTGTGTAGTGTTGGTAAAATGTTTCCTTATTGAATGGGAAACCATTTAGATAATTTGAATTTTGAAATACTATACATGCTAATCGGAATAGGAAATGTTATTTAATTTTCTGAACAGTACAATCAAGAAAAGAACAAATTTGTTGAGATATTAACTGATCTTCTCAGATAGGGATTTAAAATTGAAACATGAAAAAAGCTGTTTTCTGGTAGATTATTGTTATGGGTTGCTAATAGAACAGAATATTGGAATATGTTGTACCGAATAGAGTTTTCTTTCTTTTTATTTATTTTCATCATGTCACGAGGTTAACTTGGTTAGGCCATGCACTACATGCAAAGCGTTTGAAAATTATTAATTGAGACTTGGACAGTTAGACATCCTAATCCCAAATATCATGTTATATTGTGAGATACAGCAGTTGTAGCTCATGTTTGAATAGAAATCTCAGGGAAAATCACTGATAAAGCTCAAATATTTGTTATCAAATTGCTGTTTCATGTTATAATTGAAATTATATAGAAATAGAAAATTGAAATGCTTAAGCTTGACCTGTTTATCTTATGCTTCATGTGAAGCATTCATTTTGTTGAGCCAATGTGGAGTTGATCTTAAGTAGCTTTTGTTTGAATAACTGGATAGAAAGTCAATTTCAGAATTGGCTTGGTCAATTTCAGAATTGGCTTGATCAATTCGTGCCATGATCCTAGTGTGAGGTTGCTGATATGGCTTCTTGTCAAACCAATTGTGTTTTAGCATGTTTATCTTTCCTGGAATTAAAAGTTACTCTTCATATATAAGTTTTTCTCAGTTGAATAATGCATAGGAGGTGCATTGGTAGCAGTTGGCATTGATGTTGCAACTTTTATTTCTGTGCTGCAGGTGCAGGGCAACACCATACACGGAAGCTGAGATTAAGGTATTGCTCCTTTGAGTATGTTAGCTTCATTATTGATGTTTACTTGCAGATTTGAGAGTTGTGTTGGTTCCCAAACAGCCAACTTTGTATGTATGATTATCTTAGCTGATTGCGGACTTTTTAATATTTTTCCTACTGCTTTTTGTGCATTCAAGACCAGTGCTCATCTCATCCAGACAATATAGCTGCTTTATCCAAGATAAAATGGTTCTAATAGCTTTTTCTTTTCTTATCAATGTATTATCTCTTTCGAGAGTGCTGGTGATCCAAGTGCATGATTAACAAAGAATTAGGTCTAATAGCTGTCAAGGAATGAATAGGACATATAAAGAAAGGGTTGTGACAAGGTTTTTCTCTTGTGTTTGATTTTTGGGGACAAGTGCGATATGCACAATTTGTCTACTGACTACATTATTCACTTGGCCACTTATCATGTTTGAAACTGTTGTAATGCTCTAGAATTCCTTACTGAGTGAAAAAAATAATAATAAAATAATAAATAAATAAATAAATAAAGAAACGAGAAGGAGAGACTGGCTTTATAATGATAATTTGATTATATAATTAAAGTTGTGTTTCTGTCCTGCTTCTTTACTTACTTCAGTTGAGAGCTTATGAATTATTGCATTTCTTGACCTAGTTGTTGCTCTGATACTGAATCCTTTTATACTTCAGAAAGCATTCAGGGCCAAGGCAAAAGAGTTCCACCCAGATCAGAACCAAGATAATAAAGGTTAGATATCTCTCTCTTTTTTTCCCAATTATAATCCCATTAGCAGGTGCCACGATTATCAATTAGTTGCTCATAAGTCTATTGTTAATGATTTGGTTCAGAAGTGGCTGAGGCAAAGTTCAAAGAGGTAATGGTATCATACGAGGCCATTAAGCAAGAAAGGAAGGACATGAAATCATGAACTGGCTCACTGCTGTAGGAGTTGCAGGCCCTTCGTCACTTTTGTCCTTTTCCGTGTAGGGGAGTTTTGTTTTATACTGAAAATTGAAATTACCTCATTGCAAACTAATTTTTGGGGAGGACTTAATATTGTATCTAGAGAGAGGTAAGATATATTGTTAATTTCATAAAGTTTTTTAAGTCTAGATATAAAACAAGGGCGACTAATATATCTATGCACAGCCCTTGCAATACGTGTATTGGCGTAATTCCGGTAATTATGTAAAAAAAAAATTAATTCATTATATTAACACACTGAATAAGTTTTTTCTGCATCTGTATTGTACAGACCTTGTAATATTTTACCGTACTCGTATATGGTTACACCCCCAGTGAGAAGAAGTGATCGATATTTTGGGACAACTTATCTTCATATGGTTTTAGGTTTACACCTTCATCTATGGTCTCAGTCTATTTTCAACTTTTGTTACTTGCATCATTTATTGAATGTGTCATCATTAATTTTGTCGAATCTCATGCGATCGCAACCATATTAACATTTGCATTTTTTGCAACATTCATGTGTTGGAGCATTTGGATTCAACATGACAGAAAAGGAAGGTGCTTCCATTTTAGATGGAGAGGTAATCGTGCCCGTTTCTTGGACTATTTAAATAAATAAATGAAGGATAAGGGACGAAATTGGGTAAATGCTTAATAACACACTGAGTCTCACAAAAATGGCATGGCACCGTTGTGAATAAATTATTTTATTTATCTAACGCTGACAGTTGAAAAGCACTTAATCACTGTGCTCCGATAAACGCGGAAGGCACAAGGCTTAGGTCCTTTGCAACGTTAACAATTTATAACATACTCCTTTTTAAAATATGAGTCTGTTTTGAATATTTCAAGAAATATTTTTTTAATATTATCTTTGTTTACATTTAATATAAAAATTATCCTCATAAATAACTATTTTTAACTTTAAAATGAAAGATAATTTAATAAAATTACTCTTCATTTTATTATAATTTTTAAAAATTCTTTAATATCTGTGGAAAAACTTTAAACTAATTTATATTTTGAAATTGAGGGAGTATATCCTTAGAATAATTAGATGCTAGAAAACAAGGTACAATACCGAAAAGGCAAGGATTAGGTCTACGTGAGAAATTAATTCCATTAGTAATTTTTTTTTTTTTTATATATATATATTTTGAACTCAAGAGTCACAGTTATGAACAGCCTAAAGGATATGATAATTCACATTTCACAGTTGTCCACTTCTTTGGTAAGACATTCACCCACCCCATTTAACTTTGAAAAAGGAATGGAAATCCAATGCAGCTCTGCTTCACAAATTCTTTATCTTCAATTGCATTTAGTGGGAGGAGCTCTATAATAAGCTGGAACTGTTGCAGGGAAGAACATTTGCCTAACCCCTTCTGCCTTAATAATAGGGAAGATGATTCCCGAGGCACCCTGCATGAAAAAGTACCTTGATATTTTTAGTACTTGAAAAAAGTAATACACCGTAAATGAACTTGATGAATTGTGATGCAAACCTAGGCCTTGTTTGGTTCACGAAATGTCATAACAACAATTAAAACAGCTATCCCATGTCATGGAGATACTTTTTTTTCCTCTCTTTATAAAATGTGTTCTATAAATTGAATAATTAAATTATCTATTATAAACTATCATATTTTTTAATAAAAACTAATGAATTTGCTATTTAATGGAATAGTTATTTCATATTTAGATTTGAAGCAAAGCTAAGAATGGCTACTCCCTCCCTGTTCATGTAATATCATGAACCAAATGTGGCCTAAAAAGTGGATAGAAGAGAGATAGATATGCACCGATATCAGCCTAGCACCAATCCAGATGCGCTTGGGTGAAGGAAAAGGCAACAACAACCGACCACACCCATAAACTGCAACCGCAAAGAAATGGAGAACCAAGCTCAACGGACGAGGATTTAAACCCGAAAGCAAAGAGACTGGTCCTGTTGAGAATACGCCTCCAAGACTCAAATAATCAAAGCAAGCCCTGCGCATTTCCTGCCTTGCTTCATCAGGTGAAGAAGAAAACACCTTGTAGAGGGCCCCTGCCAGTGTATTGATTGTTGATGCCACGGGCTGCAAAGCAATGAAGATGTTGAGTTGAATGAAGTAACATGGAATCCTAATCTTTGTCAAAGTTCCATTTTGAAGTTTAGTTTCCATAACCAAAAAGCATTTCATGCCAATACGAGAAGGAAAAGCAGCCACTACTCCAGTTGTAGCAGGCATATAAAACTGGCATATGAATATAACTCATACCTTACGCAGAGTGTAAAAGGATTCAAGATACCGGCAAAGTGTAGGTGCATCATGTAGATCATGCAGAGGTTTGAGAAGATCCCGTAGCACAACAATGTCAGATAGTGCCACAGTCATTCCTCCCCCAGTTAGAGGATGGCGCATGTTGAATGCATCACCCATTAACAACGCACCAGGAGTAGGATAGGGAGAAGCTGGCATGCTTCTGTTTGGCATTGTCCTAATGTTTCCCTTGTCAATTGCAGCTATAAAAGAATCATATATTTCTGGGGGAACCTGCAATATACATTTCATAAGGTCAGTTGAACACACCATCAAACAAAAATCAAGATAAAAGCAGTTTTAACATTAATTTGTGATACAGAAAGCAATGAAAATAAAAGCTACAAATTCATCATTAAATGCATTGATCCTAAATAATATACCTGAGGTGCCACAACATTCTTCAAATACATTGCCATTTCACCATTTGAAATAGAAGGGACCTTCTGTCCAGGTACATCAACCAGACAGCGAACTTCTGTGCTACTGATAGGATAGAATAAAATTGGGGAAGGGTCTGCTAGTATAACATGACCATGATTTGCATAAGGGAGATGGCAATTCTCCAGTACCAAACCAACAAAACAAGAGGGAACATCTACCTGCAGAAGATAATCAGAATTCAGTTTGACTCTCTAATTCTAGGAATTACTTCATCACATCAAAAAGAAAGGTAGTGAAGGATTTATGTAAGAAAGGTAGATAATATGCTTAAACACATGAAACCAATCATTATTTAGCAGTAATACAGTAATGATTCCTGTGTCATCACCTTAGGGTTGCAAAGGGAGCGACGCAAGTTCGAGAAACAGCCATCACAAACAATTGTCAAAGGCGCAAAAGCTGTAAGCTCTTCACCTGTTTTTGTTTTGTACTGCACCCCTTTAATTACCCCATTTTCTTCAATTAGGGAAGTGACAGTTCCTTGCTCCAATCGTACACTGAAGAAATAAAAACGAAGTACTATTAAGATGATTATAGGATAAACCTCGTAAGATCACAATATGCCCTTAGATAACACACGGATCCCCATTTCAGAGAAACAGAGATCAGCCAATTTAACCAAATTGTTAATATGAAAAAATTATGGTAGAAATACTGGATAAACTATTGAGATCAATTTGAGATCCAGTACAATTTTCCCAAGGCATTACCACATTTATACATCTATACTCGGCGAAAAGACGTACTTGGGAAGGGATGCAGCCTTTTCACGCATCCTCTGTATGAAGCGTCCATTATGAAAGCTCCTCCCTGCCACATCCGAGTGAAACTTTTCTAAGGGATAAGCAAGTTGGGTATGTTTTCCATCCTTGAAAAGCGCATAACCGAACACCCTTTGTGCATCAATTCCATCCACGCAATCTGCAGCATGAAATATGATAAAGGTTACAGCAATTGGGTCTTACTGTAATTCAGCTAGGCAAAATATGCTATTAAACTAATAATAATAATAATAAATTCAATAAAAAAAAACACTAGTAAGCTTAAAAATTTGTACAGGTGAATAAAAAACTATCATTAAACGCACCTTCAAGTCCTAATTCAATTAACTTTAGATAGCCTCCTGGTTGAAGTAGTTCACCAACAATTCTGTCAGGTTCAGTCAAGTCTCTTTCAATTACATGCACTCGACGCCCTTCCTGTTTTCCAGATCACAAACTCAATTTAAAATTGAAATAACTATAACTTAAAATATCCAAATAAAATAACCGTATGATTCAATGGGCCAACCATGGAGCAAATCAATACGAAAAAAAAAAACAAAGAAGTCAAATTACGAAAAAAAAAAACAAAGAAGTCAAATGATGAAGCATAATTTATTAGTTTCTTTGAGAATGTTACAACAGAATAAGGATTAAAATAAGTTAAATCCCAACGAAATTAAGTAATAGTTTATAGTTACAAATTATAGAAAAGGAACTTCAACGAATCCCAGCAATTAAGAGTTATAGCATGTATGAGTTATTCAATCCATGTCTTGCTTGCTAGCAGATAATTATAATTACAAGAGCATGGTAAAGGAATAGCAAACTAATTCTATAAAACAATCAAAAAATAGACTCGACCACAATCCACATATGAAGAATTTTTTAATAATAAATTCTTTTTTGCCCAGCTTGTCCTACCCAATCGTTAATTGTAAAGCTATCTGTTACGTAAGAACTAATGTTCCACTAGATAAGACACCAGAGGATTGAAATTTTCCACCAAACAAGTCCGAACTGTTTCCATTCATCACCCAAAGACAGATCAAGAAACTGTTGAATCCGTAATACTGTAATAGAAATTATATAAAACCAAAAAACATAAAGAAAAATCATATAATTAACTTGACAGAAGTGACTTCACTACTGACAACCCCTTTCCAATCATAAAAGAAAAGGAGTAAACTAAATGGCAGCTGTGCTTGGCATATGGATCGCTCTAAGCGCATATTATTATGGTATCTGTTGTTTTCTCAACTACTAAGAAGACCAAAATATTCCTAGAAGCTTCGCGTGTTTATGGGCCTGCAAATATCTATGCATACGTTTGTATGATACTCGTCTTCTATCTATGCATCTGATGGAAGCAGAAGGGAAATAAATCTAAAATAATTCTGTGACACTGTAAATAAGTTGATAATTTTTAAAAAGAAAATTAAACACGTGTCCCCGATGGCATCTGGAATTGGAAAACAAAAATGACGAAACGGCATGTGTTCAAATAAACACGAAACAAGAAATCCATTTGGAGATGAGTATAAAAATCATCTAATTAAGCTCAAATCAATCTAAGTCATATAATTCTAGGATTTAAATGTTGAAATCGAATCCAGCTAGTATCTCAGGACCTCTTAACAGACTCCTCTTTTTTTTTTTATCGTGAAAAACAAGATACAGATGGCGATATCAGGTAAAGGAAAAGGAGGAGCACAGCTGACACTTTACAGCTCATAGCCCAATTTAAAATTCTATTCGCTACTAGGGAAGAACTTTTCTAATTTCAAAAAAAAAAAAAAAAAAAAAAATAAGTCATATAAATTCTAGGATTTAAATGTGAAAATGAATCCAGCTAGTATCATCAGGACCTCTTAATCAGACTCTCTTTTTTTTTTATATATATCGTGAAAACAAGATACAGATGGCGATATCAAGTAAAGGGAAAAGGAGGAGCACAGCTGACACTTTACAGCTCATAGCCCAATTTAAAATTCCTATTCGCATACTAGGGAAGAACTTTTAAAAAAAAAAAAAAAAAAAAAAAGGAAAAGAGAAAGCATTCTATAGCTAAAATAAATAATATTATAAGAAAAACGAAACAAATCATGCTTCTCTATGGCTGGTTGTCGAGAAAATGCAAGGGGAACATGTGAAAGGGAAAAGTTAAACTCACCTTGCCGAGAGTATGAGCGAGAGCGGAGCCAGCCACACCGGCGCCGACGATGATGACATCTACACCGGAGCGGTCATCGGATCTACATTCTCCATTGATAGCAGATATAGTCCTGACGGAGTCTCTTCTAGCCTGGAAGAAAGTTCTTCTACTATTCTCCTCTTCCCTCTTCACCACCAAATACACCATATAGTATAAAGCGAAAAGCCCAATCACAGAGGCGAAGATCCACCCAAGCAAGTAATGATCCGCCATTTTCACAAGAAAATAAAATTACAAACGGAAACGATGCTCCGGTAGTTGTCAATTTCTAGCGTTTGCTTTCGGTAGCTAGAATACGAAAGATTTGCTGGCAATAGCTTTTATGATAAAAAAGGCTTTTTAGTTAACTTAACAGAACACGAGAACCATCAGGAACGACATGATCCTTTTATAGAGGCCCTCACTCAAACGGAGTGTACACATTTAGTCTCAGCAACAAAGGTCAAAACGTGTACGTTTTACTTCTAACGTGCGCCTCCACTGTGATTCGGTTAACGTGCGCCTTGACTCCTTTGTTCGTTTTTCTTACTTTATGAAAAATTAAAATAATAAATCGAAAGTCCCTCCCTGCCCTTCGTATTCGACAAAAGACAAATCGCTGGCCACTGGGTATATTTTTTATCAATGAGTTGGAATAGCCTCTATTTTATTTTATTTTATTTTTTTTACTGGCAACCATATACTTCCGCTCCCGCGGTAAATTAGAGATTAATCTCTTTTGAGTATTAGAGTAATTATGTTGAAAGTTTTTTTTTTTTTAAATACGCATACTATCCCTTTAAAAAAAATACATATATTAGAAATGCATTTTGAATCATAAAAATGCTCTAAAATCGATTCAACGATTCGATCAATTATATTAAAAGTTCTCTCTAAAATATCGATTCCATGGAGTCTAATGTGCCTCAATACTAGACCAAGTTATTTTGAATTTCATTCTTTTTATTAACTACATAGGTATCCCAATTTAACCTAATATTAAATTATGCTGACCACTAATGAATAGAATGCTTGTAACACGTATTAACTATTTGCTTGATTTATAAGAATTAAACGCTCAGTCTTACTAAAGGAGAAGAAAAATGGTGAACTATTCATTCTAATCTAAATTTATAATTTGAAATTATTTATTTATTTTACATCATTTAAAACTCTCAAATAAATTAAAGATAGTAGGTCAAGATATTTAAATTAAAATCAGAAAAAATTTCAGGAACACAATAACAAATTATTATATTTTTTAAAACAATTGTTTTACTTAGTTTCAGCATTTGATGTTTAGTTTTATCAAACACCATTTAAATTTGATAATATTTCTGGCAATGTTTAAAAAAGAATTGCAATGAAATGCAATTTATTTTTAAGTTATTTTAATGATAAAAAAAAAATATGAATACTCTTTAAGCATTGAAAAATCAAAAACTTTTTACTATAATCTAGAGTTGAAAATATAATTATGCAAATATTATCTAAATGTGCATATTCATGTGCATGATATTTCTGGTTAGGAATGTTAATATAATTTACAATTATAATCTTCTCATTTGCAATTTTTTTTATTTGAAAATTTGTTTTATTCACATTTTATATATTTTATACAAAATAAGTTGTCCAATTATTATCAAATAAAAAAAAAAAAAGAAAACTCATAAGTCTTAACGATGTGTCCATACCATTCTTAATTGATCACTGTGCTCATAAGTTGAGATTAACAATGAAATTAATTAAATTAATTAACCAAACCATTAAAAAAAGTTGGATCAATGAACCGTAATGATGGTAGAGCCGTAGAGGTGGACGGAAAGATGGCTGGGCGTGGTCACTCCCTAACTCCAAATTTTTTTTCATTTTCGCCATGAATTAAAAAAAAATAGTTGAAAAAAAATTTATTTGGCCCCCTTTAAATTTTTGATTTTTTTTTTTGTCCCCCAAATTTGATTACTGGTTCTACTATTATATGGTAATTTAACACTTAAATTTGACAAAAATGAAAAGGCCAACGGCTTGTTCAATTTGTAAATGCCAAAATAAAAATATTTTCACCAAACAAAATATAATATAAATTGTGATTATACCTAAAATTTAGTTACTAACTTTAGATGTGGACAGTCTTAATTAGTCTTATTGTCAACAATTAAGATACGATTTATACAACTGTAATTTTAAAAATGTGAGCGGTCCATGGCTTTTTGATTTCCTCTACTGGTGGATGTGCGATAAGGATAGTTAACTAATTAATTATAATACCCAACTATATTTTCTTAATTTTCTTAATTAAAAAAACATACGTGTCTTTAGGTTTTGTAAGAAACCATGGGAATTAATCAATGGGCAAGCATAGTGTGTGTTAGAATTATGGGTGGTCAATCTTCTCCCTTCGATACAATTTATGTACTTGTTTTTGGCACTATTACCTAACTAATTGGCTGTTAGAAGGATATCTCGTGAATGAATTATATGATAATATATAGTTGGTTTATTCTATCAATTGCACTTTTGAAAATTCACCTCTTTTTTTATTAGTAAACGTATTTCTATATTCGATTCATACTTTGAAACCCTAATTTTACAGAACGTGAAGATGCAGTTTATTTGCATTAAAATTTAAATATTGTTGGTTAAAAATTCACTATTCTAAGCTGGAAAAATGGTACATTACTATATTTGCCAATTTAGGCAGCCGGCAAATAATTGCATGGTCTAAAACCTAACGGACCAATAGTTTGGCTTGTTGAACTGAATCTTAGAGGTAATTAACTTAACATGTTTGACTCATAATAATCACACACAAAGAAACTATAACAATGATCCAAAGGTCAAGATATTTCCTGATGAACGCTAATGTTAGGTTCAAGATTTATGGAAAGAAAATTAAACCGACTCCCATATGGGAAATAAAGTGGTAGACTTAACTTTTGAATCTTTATAAAGAATTAAGTGGATGACCAAAACAAAAGTGTAGTCCATTTGAAGAATTCCACGAAGCAACCAAGTCAAGAAAATTATATATATATATATATATATATTTTCTAAACGAAACAAGATATCTTTCAGTTACTTCTTCAACTAGTTTTGCAATTTTAGTTGTTATTTATTTGAGATTAAGGGGCAAAGTCTTTTTCTTTCATTTTGTTAATCCAAATAAGCAATGCACTTGGTTATTGGAGTCAATGAAGTGATGATGAAGGTTTTATCATTCTTGTGGATGAAAAAATTTGTGTAATGGGAGCTACAAGGAAATGTTGCGAATGTGAATTATGTGAATGATGTGTTTTCCATCCTAATAAAGCCAAACCCAGTAGTTGAAATGATTGACACTTTGCAAAGCAATGAAAAGTTTTTGTGGCCAAGAAGGTTTCAAGAAAAAAACAAATGGGGGGGTTGGTGGCCAAGGTTTCAAGAAAAGAGCTACAAATTTATATTAACAGAAAGCAGTATGTTTGAAAAGGTTTAATTCAAAATAAAATTTGGAAGATTTAATTTTATTAAATTGAATATTTATTTAACATATCAAATACGAAAATTAAAAAAAAAAATTACTTATTGCTAAATTAAAGACAAAAAGATGGGAAGGCCGATGAAGAGGAGAATAAAAAACCACAGGCTCCAAAGTTGGCAAGGGATTACCATCATCATGCACGTGCTGCACTAACACGGACAAAACAACTAGTATTTCTTTTAACTAATATCGGCTTCTTCTCAATGATGAACAAAGGGAGGACACGATATATATATATATATTAACTTAATTGGTTGGGTTTATGGTTCCAGTTCTGATCTTATACGTAGCTAACCAAATTAGTCTTTTATGTTCAAGATAGGTGATTTGGTTCGATACTGAACCGATTTTTATAGTGTTCGGTCCGATCTGTACGGCTCATTTAGTCAGACGGAACCAATTCTGTCCGGTTCAGCTAAACCAAATGCTAACCCCTCACAGAGCTAAGCGACAAAGTTGATTGTTTGTGCATAATTGTGATTAGAAATTTGTAATCTAGTGGAAGATGTGACTAAAAGGAATTTCAAAAACCCAAATTCATTAGCTCAGGAAATTGATTTACATATATAAATCACCATAAAACTGTTGTGAACGTGATGATGGATGTTGGTTAAACTATTGTAAATTCAAAATTACAAGCAAAGCAATGGTTATCAATTTCTTAATTAATTGGTGTTGGTGGGTGCAATGAAGAGTGGGGAAATCGTATTGTTGGTCATGCAAATATCTCTGTACAAACGTTGAATTTTGTGCTAACAAAGTCAAGTTTGATATCAGTCTATTTTATGTTGATACGATTTAAACACAGGAATTTATTAGTTAGTTAGTTAGTTAGTTATTTATTACATCGAAAAATAAAAATCAATTAAAATTTTATTTAACCAGCATCATATTAAATTTATTTTTTAATTTTATTATAGACAGATTACTCGCATCAAATTAAAAAATTTATAAATGAAAAAAAAAAAAAGCATTATTTATATTTTATATTTTAGTTTCTATTGGCTTAGTCTTATTTTTATCTGGAACGATATTTTTTTAATTGTTGGGAATAATTTAGATGGTCCCTGAAACATGTTGCTTTCTTAGATATATTGTAACGGTGATGTCATTCATTCTTTAGAGGTGATTTAATTTTGTTTTGCTCGTGGAATTATGTAACATTATTTTGTCAATAAATCTTGAGATGGTCCTAAGAAAATGCTGCTTTTGTAATTGTCTTATAACGTTTGGGGAACCTATTTTGTGATTGCTCAACAATTCATTTTTTCAATTTAAGTTGGCGGCTCATCTTGGAACATTCAATGTTTGTTCTTAACATATGAAAGGGTATAATTATATTATAGTGTTAAAGATGCTTACTCAAAATTATATTGATAAAAAAGACAATCACGCTATCAATGTTTAGCAGCGTCATATTTAGAATTTTAGGTAACAGATTATAAATCAGTATTCTTTTTAATATTTGATGAAACACTAATTAAATAATCGGCAACACACTTTGACGGTTATTTTTTTTTTCCTTGAATGATGAATTCTCAATAACAAGAGTCATTCTTTATACAATCTCCTTATGGCAATTTAAAATTTCGGCAGGTTTAATGAGATGAAATGTTTTACAATCTAGTAGTATTCTACTACAAAGCTATATATCTTCCAAATGTAAAGGAACTAAGTCATATTTTAGAGAGATCAATAATATGAAAGATAATTTAAGTACTAACTTCATATTGTAGATCTAATTATTTAATCAGAAATGCTATTGCAACAATTTTCTATCTTGCATCTCGGGATAGAGTGCAATTTAGTTAAAGGAAGATATTTTTATTATTTTCATACAAATTAATGGCAAAAATTAAAAAATAATTGCAAGGATTAAAAGGTCAGATGTAATTAAAAATTAGTGACGAAATCATATATTTTTAATAATACAAAGATAAAATAATTAACTTGATTAAAATCAAGAGGAAATAATAGTTATTCTAAATAATTATAGCCCAAATACAATTGCATTGTATTAAATTTATTTTTTTTATTTAATCAAAGGCACAGTATTTGCATCAAATTAAAAATTTTGAAAAATAAAAAATAATTTATAATATGATATACAAACTTGCTTAGCAATGAAATGTAAAATCCAGATATATATTGCCGTTTGTTGTAAAACAAAACTAAAACTATATTTGAATGGTATTTTTGAAATAAAATTAAGTGCTTTACATTTATCAAGTATTTTAAGTTCTAACTATTCAAAACAAATTCTTGGCAGCCCACTTAGCAACTTAGCCTATGGTTGTTCTCGGCCCAGCATAGGGAAGATGTAGCACGGCATAACTCATTGTCGAGAGGTTAGGCCCGAGATGAAGATCACGTGCCCAATCCACAAGAAAGGCAATCAGAAATTGAAAAACTCCGGCGGAGGGAAGCGAAACCATCGCAACTGCTACTATTGCCTGCAATGATGGATTTTCGGAGCTCCAATCTCAGTTTATGGAAGGAGGCCCTCTCTTCCTATTCAGCCCACATAAAATCTCTCAACAAGCCCGACCTCGTTTCTCTTGACGAGTTCTACAGAATCCAACTTCCTTCTCTCCTCCACCAACGGAACCCTAACCCATACATCACCACTCCTGAGCTCTCCAAGCTCATGCAATGGAAACTTTCCCGTGGAAAATGGAGGTAACCGCTGTTTCACTCTTTATTCGTTTATATATCTTATAAAAAATTGCTGTTAATATTTGGTGAGTTTATGTACATTTTTAGGCCCCGCTTGCTGGAATTCGTGTCCTCCTTGGATGAGGAATTAGTGAAATCTGCTTCTCAAAAAGCCTTTGAATCGCTTCCTGATGTTTCGAAAGCTGTCTCTCAGCTTACAGTTCTGAAAGGCGTTGGTCCGGCAACTGCTTCCGCCGTTTTGGCAGCTTACGCGCCTGATGTTGCACCCTTCATGTCTGATGAGGTTATCTTGGTGTTACATTTTATTTTGATTGAATTTTGTTTTGTTTCTGTCTGGTTACTCAGCTATTAGCTTATTCGACTGATTTGAAAGGCCATGGAGGCAGCTTTGGGTAGCTCCAAAAGTTATACATTGAAGCAGTATCTATTTTTCGTGGATAAACTACAGAGTAAAGCTAAGGTCAAAAGGATTTTCATTTTTATTAAATTGCATGGGTATTCTTTTATCAGACTGTTTTCCATTATTTTTAATCTGCATTGAGCAAGGAATTTCTGCTTAGAGGATGCATAACTGTTGCTAAATAAATAAGTTGTGTTAAACAAAGGAAAGGCGTCATTTTGATGGTACATTTCAATCTAATCTCTCTCAGAGGATGCCTGGTTTGTCCAGTGGTAATTTGGACAGTTAGACGAGGTTAATATTGATAATATTCTGCTGAATTTGCTATTACACTTAACCAAGTGATGGGTCCAGGTTATTTATGAGATACTGGATATTTGTTATATTATAAAATATCATTCATCCAAAAGTTACAGAAGAAAAGAGCGCTATAATATGATGTTAGGTAACGAAATTTGAAAGTCAGCTTTTTTACCACTTCTATAATTGACAATTCAGCTATGTGCTACTTAGGTGCTGTTGCTGAGTAGTTATTTCTCATTAGTCATTTAGTATATAGGAGATATTAAAGATGATGTTAACGTTGCTTTTCATTGAAGTCCACTGCTGCCTTGCAAGGCCAGAGGCAATTTAAATTTTGGCGGGTCTAATTAGAAGAACTGTTCATAATCTAGTTATATTCTACTGTGAAGCTAGCTTCCAAATGCAATGGAACTCAGTCATTTTAGAGTGAGCAATATTGTGGAAAATAATTCACCTGCCTAACTCCATATTGCTTGAGACATTGTAGCTCTAATTATTTATTTATTTATTTTTTTTTTTTTTTGGATCTTGTGATGATTAAGTGCTGTTAAAATGCAACAGCTTTCTACCTTGCATCTCAGGGATAGTGTGCAGATTAGTTAAAGCTTGCGAACTGGAAATTCATAATGCACATTCATCAAAATCTTTCTGAAAGACCATCATCTTTTTAAGCTGCTTTAACTAAGAATAATAAAGATGATGAATGACTTATAGATTGACTTCTTGACTTGCCGGTTTGCCATATTGAACAATTCATGTCCTTTCAATTGAGTGTATTAATAAACCTATATATATTATAAGCATTGCAAGTTCAAGATTTCATTTTGTTTGGCCTTTTTGCATCAGTGCTTGTTGTCTGTCAAAAGAATGGTACAAATAATCCAAGCTCCAGCAAAACTATGCTGGCATATATTGGTTAGTTCTTTATTTATTATTATTTTTTGTTTCTTTTTCAAGGAATTAAGCATAGATGGGGACTTCTTCACACCATCTGATGTAGAAAGAGCCTTATGGAGTTCTGTCGTTGGGGCCAAGTTGCTAGCTTCGCAGCAAGATCCAGACTCAAGGACTAATGCAGATAGAGACATAAAAAGAAAGAGAAAACGTTGATGTGCTGCTGTCTGACTTGACACCTATGCTTGTAAGTGATTGGTCTGTAAATTATGGATGTCCTTAGCAGTTACTTTCAATTCATTAATGCAATCCGACTTCCAGTTTTTATTTACCTATCCGTTTGGCTTTCAATGATGCAGTATATTAATTGTTAGCTCATGGCTGCAGATAATGCATGTTACTGGTAGTTTCTACTGCCTACTGTAAAGTCTACCAATCTGGTAACATATTCCATTTCGTTTGACTAAAAGATGAGTATAGAAATGTCTTGGTCCTAGTCTCCCCTGCGGACTTTGGATAAAGTGATAATTACGGCTTATGACACAAAAACCTGCCTTGAATGTTGTTCATTTTCAACTCGCTTGGGTTTTGATATTGTCAATTCATATACAAGTTAGGTTAAGAACATTGAGGTTAGAAGCCATGCCAGAAGCAGTTCGTTTTCTGTTTGTTTCTTCTCCTCCATTACATCTTTTGCCTGCCCCGTGCTATCTTTTACAACTGTATTCCCGGTCCCCAAACTCTATTTTCAGACCAGACCTGGGATCTCCCTCATTAGAAAGTGAATGTGCCACCAAACCTAGAGGCCTAGTAGATATATGGTTGGATGGATATAGATGGATCTAGAGTGAAGCTGCTTTCTTTTTAGTGCATGTGATAATATTTGACTGTTTCTATGCCACCCAAACGATTAATAAAATATCAGAAGTTTTCTGATGGAATATTACAAGTTAAATTGCATCTGCTTCTTGATTAGTTAAAATCAAGTATATGCGCTTAATTTAAGAAAAATGCATCATTGTACGGTGGGGTGGGCTAGTCAGTGTGAAACTACTGCTTTGCTTACAAGGCTAAGTTGTTGCAGTTTGGCCTAAGCGAACCGCCTCAAAGCAGCATCAGATCCAGGTCAGTTAAAACGAACAGAAGACAAACCAACGAGCAGAAGATTTTTTTTTTTTTTTTTTTTTTTTTTTACTGCGTTTGCTTCAAGGCTAAGTGTGCAGTTTGCCTAAGCCGAACCGCCTCAAAGACAAGGCATCAGATCCAGGTCAGTTTAAAACGAACAGAAGACAAACCAAACGAGCAGAAGATGTTTTTTTTTTTTTTTTTTTTTGTAACTATTGCTTCCCTTCCGCATTTCCAATTGGATTTTTTTTTTTTTTTTTTTTTTTTGTAACTATTGGCTTCCCTTCCGGCATTTCCAATTTGAAAGAACACAAGACAAGGGAAAAAAAAAAAAAAAAGGGAACTGCTTGTGACAAACACCCAATGACTAACGACACTACTTTAATTTTTTTAAAAAATATTAACCATTAACCTGTTTTGGAAAAAAAAAACAAAAAACAAAAACTCATCATGGTAGGTGTTCTGTCCTCATTCTCTTTCCTTTTTCACCTTTCTGCAACGGCTTTCTAACGGACGGGGATATGGAAAATCTCGTTTTAAGTCGATCGTTTCAACAAATAGCGCTAATTTTCCAGGTGTCAACGCCTAATTGGTTTTGGCCCTTGTAATGACCGTAGTCTCCACGTCGATTCCCGCGTGAAAAGTGAACACCCCTATAAAATCTCGCTTCTCACAGGTCACGACTCTTCTTTTTCAACGTCAACGCCCACTTCAACGGCTAACTGTTTCAAGATGACCGTTATATCCTCCAGCGAACCAAAATACCGCCGGAGTCCCAGGACCCCTCTCCTGCCTCAAAAGCACGACGACCACGAGCCTCTCGAGGTCGGATTTGATGGCGCCTCCTTCTCAGGAGCCGTTTTCAACCTCTCCACAACCATCGTCGGTGCCGGGATCATGGCTCTTCCGGCCACCGTAAACCAATTGGGCCTAATTCCAGGTCTGACTATGATCATATTGGGAGCCATGTTAACAGAGTCATCGGTCGACATGATTATAAGATTCGGTAAAGCTTCCAAGTCCGCCACATATGCTGGCGTTGTCGCCGATGCGTTCAGTGGGCCCGGCCGAACCCTCCTTCAAGTCTGCATTGTCATCAACAACCTCGGCATCCTCATCGTATACATGATTATAATCGGTACAGACATTAAATTATTTTTTTAGTTTTATATTATTTAACTTAAATTTGTCAGGAACACGATGTTATGCATGTTAAATTTCTGTTGTTCGCTTTCTGGTCTTGGGTTTTCGAGCTAAAGTCGAATTCTTGGTTCGGTTGGTCCTTCCTTTAGGCTTAACCGTTAAGCTATGACAGGTAGAAGTTCTGGGTAGCTAGCACGTTTTAGACCGCGTGTTATGTCGAATGTCTTTAACAGCGTATTAAGACGTCTTTGTGAAGAAGTTCAAAACTATTGTAATATGTGCGCGTTCAGTTTTCAATTGTTCTCTGCCGTTAGATCATGATCCAATGGTTGGTGCTTACTAACTTTTTTTTTTTTTTTGCGTGGTAGGTGATGTGTTGGCGGGAACATTGTCAGATGGGGTCCACCATTCAGGAATTATGGAAGAATGGTTTGGACAACATTGGTGGACTTCACGCTCCTTCTTGCTGCTGCTCACCACACTTTTTGTATTCACTCCTCTAATTTCATTCAAGCGCGTTGGTAAGCTTACTTCTTGTCTTGCATTTGAAAGTGTATAACAATGTTTAACGGAGAATTTCATTGATTGGTTCGCTTTGTAGTTTGAAAATGAAGTAACTCTTAGTTGATAACTTTATATGTGCAATTCCAAATTCCAAGAAATGTTTTTTATGCAGAACAAACTTAGTAGTATCACAAACATCCTTATTTAGTTTAGGTTCTAAATGCTAGAATTAGAGGTGACACTTTTAGCATGCTGACTCAAACATATTTACTGAGTTCAGCTCTTCGTGCAAAAAATTGTCTAACATAGAGAAGAGTTTTGCTCTCATTCTTTCCATATTTGCAAGAATTCTGACCTTTACTCTAAATGAAACATCCCTTTTAGTTTTCCTTCTTCTTTAGCATAATTGTAAGAAACAGCGACTAACTTCTGTACCTTACCTTTCTTGCGATGTTAGATTCATTGAGATACACATCAGCATTATCAGTGGGACTAGCTATTGTATTTGTGGCCATCACAGCAGGAGTGGCAATTGTTAAATTAATAGAAGGAGGTGTCAAAATGCCACGTTTGATCCCCGAACTCATCGATCAGGCATCTTTCTGGAAGCTATTTACAACTGTACCTATCCTGGTTACTGCTTATATATGTCACCACAATGGTAAGTCATGTAATTATGGTTAAGGGCAGCTATCGGATGCTTATCTTTCAAGTGCTGAATATTATCAATTGATTTTACTTTAATATGTTTGCATTAGCTTCTCTCTTCAACTTCCAAAATCATTTTAAGGAGTTAATATTATTGAGTTCACATAAAAATAACATTAATGAGAGGAACTTTTGTTATGCTGGTCCTTTTAGGATGGGGAAGGTCTTATTTACTAAGACTTGCTCAGTTGATCCAAGTTGAATCATTACATTTTCAAATATATCTTTCCACTCAAGTTCACCACGAGCATATTACTCATGAGTGGGCAGCTTGAACTTAAGAAATTGGAAAAGCCCTGAGAGAGGACTATTCTTCTTATGCATTATAAAGTATACATTGTTATTTTTCACAAATCCATGAGAAGATATACTTCTGAATTTATGCACAAACTGTAACATGGCTGCTTGCTCCCACTAATTAACTTCTTGGTTGCCTCATGCCTGCTCGTTCAAATGCATTTTGCAGTTCACCCCATAGAAAATGAACTGAAAGACCCCACCCAAATGAAGTCAATAGTGCGGACATCCCTTACTTTATGTTCATCTGTCTATATTGCTACCAGCTTCTTCGGAATTCTTCTTTTCGGTGATGAAACACTGGATGATGTGCTTGCCAATTTTGATGGTGATCTTGGAATTCCATTCAGTTCACTGTTAGACGACGTGGTTAGAATGAGCTATGGTGTCCACCTGATGCTTGTTTTCCCAATCGTCTTTTTCTCTCTTCGCCTGAACCTGGATGGTCTTCTCTTTCCATATGCCATTCCCATTGTATATGACAACAGAAGATTCATATCAATAACTGCAGTTCTCATGGGATTTATCTTTGTGGGAGCCAATTTTGTGCCTAACATCTGGGACGCATTCCAGTTCACTGGAGCCACAGCCGCTATATCTGTCGGTTTCATCTTTCCAGCAGCCATTGCTCTCAGGTTAGCAACTATGGATAATTCTTACTCTTAACATCACAACCAACAATGCTCAATGTCATCAAAATTCATATCCCTATAATATCTTTATTAATAATATCAGCCACTTATTCCCGATATTGCGGTTTGCTTTCCAGGGACACCCATGGAATTGCAACAAAGAATGACAGACTAAAATCATGGGTGATGATACTATTGGCTGTCTCATCGAGCACGGCAGCCATTTGCAGTGATGTTTATAGCATTTTCAATTTTGACAATAAGAGTTTGAAGCTGAACTGACTGAGAAGATTATAACTGGTCGTTATAACAGAATCCTACATAAAAGATGTACAAATATGTTACATCTTGAACATGGAAAGAGCTGCAGCTCCTCATTTAATTGTTGGTGCTTACAATCGTTGTACATTGAAGCAAGCAACTAATTTTCTTTGGTTTTGATACTTCTCATAAGAGTGAAAGAAAGAAATATTTTTCCCTTTTCAAATGTTGTTGGGCCTTATAGGTAGGGTCTGGGTTTGGCGATACTGAAGCACTTAAGCCCAGAAGGAATGAAAATGAAAATGATTTGGGCTCTAATTTAGTTCAGATCGGCCCATCTATGAGTTGTACTATATCCATATTCCATCCGTTTGTTTTAATTTTAGCACATGTGATGTATATGAACATTATTTTAAGCTCTTCCTTTTGAACCGACACAACACAATCTAAGTTCATGAACCTGTAACCTGTTTAAGAACAGTCAAAATGGAAAGGGTCATCATTTAAATTTTTATTATTTTTCTGAATTATAATGTCTCCAAATGGCTCTTCTGCCGCCTTCTACCTAGTTCAGTCGATGTGATTGTTCGGTAATATTAGACTCTAGTCGATGGATTTGTTCTGTAATATTAATCCATCAGTAATATTAAACTTTTGTAACAATTGTTAGCTATTTTTCTTTATTTTTTGTAATAAGCTATTGTTCTATTAGCTAATTGTTGTCTATAAAAAAAAAATACAATTATTAAAAAATAATTAAAAGCTAAACATTAAATATCGACACATTCTGTGAAACAAAATGTAAGCTCGTGTGTGTATATGTTTTTTGATAGAAACTAAATTGAAAGGGGCCCATAGACCTCCGGTATCAAGTTATATGGCTGTCTGCTAATGATTGCCCACAAGATTTGGTTGCTTGCAGTTGAAACTATTTTAAATTTTAGAGCATGGCACCGACACGGAATTTAATCATGTGTTGGGTATAGAAAATATCAAACGTGTCAAAACTTGAATTTTAACTATTCTATTAGAGGACAATGCATGGGTTGAGGTAGAAGTGCGCACTATATTAACTTATTCTTATCATTTATATTTTTCACTTCTTTTGAAAATGTCCAAATTAATATCCCGTCAAATGGAGTTTTGCTGTAAGGTACTAAAATCGATCAAGAATGGTGAAAGGCTACTATCATCCATCACCTTCTACATTATTAACCTAATTTTGTCATTGACAAATAATTTACTAATCTTTATACACTTTTTGTTTAAGAATTGTTAAATTTGACAAGGAAAAATAATATTTTCATATATCTATGTTAATTATAAATTATTGCATAATATTTCAATTCTTAATTCTCAATTGGATAAATAAGCAAAGCGTTAAAATGAATTACATTAAATTAATCCAATCTCTTAAATATATGAAATTTGAGAATTATTAATTTAACCGAAGTATAATAGATCAACGGGTTTTTATGATTTAAATAGAAATGCGAGTTAAATCTAATAACTGTAAGTAAATTTTTGGATCAATCAAAGCAGAAACTTCCCTTTAAATCACTTAAAAAAAGAGTGGAAGAAAAGCAAAACATGCAAAGCACACCTCATCCGGTGCACGTTTCCAGTGAATCATTAGGTGATGAAGAGAAATCTATAAAAACAAGTCAACAAAAATATGTTGAATATTGAATTGTTTTTAATTTTAAGGAAATTAAAAAAGAAAATACTATTTGTCTTTCCATTAATCCAATTGACCGTCATTAGCCATAACATCAATGACCTTTCCCATTTGTTGTTAGCCTTCTTTTCCATTCACGTGGGTCTACTTTCCCATCAGGGTACTAGTTTAAAGAAACAAAAATAATTCCTCTTCGTTGCATTATTGGATGAACATTTATTTTATTAATTTTTATTTAAAAAATAGGTTAATTTAATTATTGAAAATCCTCTTTGTAAAGTGTAAGTCCACTAAAAAATAATATAAAACCATAACATATTTGGTTGATTGAAATTGTTAATGACTTCAATTTCCGTAAGAGCGAAAATATAAATTTAATTTTAAAAAAAATAATTTACTGAAAAGGTAAAAAATCTTTATATTGTATGATTCAAAATGGATTATATATTTTGATTATAAACAAAATTGACGCAGGAGATGATCGGTAAAAGACAAAAAAAAGACTTTCATTGACATTTTAATGAAGCACAGTGTCGTTTCCAACAAAAAACAAAGGATAGTGTCGGTGATGATCATGGTATGTACAAAATTAATTAAGGTCATAATTTGAATTTTAAAGTGTAATAATGGACCCAGTTGTTAATCTTTTGTCCGCAGATGAATTTATAAATTTTCTTCTAGAAAAAAAAAAAAAAACTTAATTTACAAACACGAATGTCCTTTTTCTCACTCAACACCTAACCATTGGCCAAACAATAAATATAACAAATTAATGGGACCTACCTATTATATTAATTAATTGTTTATGTGTCCTGTTAATCACACTTTTCTTTTTTATTTATTTTAAACTATACTTTATTTTTCTTTTTAAAATATGTGTATTTACTAACAAATATAATGCCATTTACTAATAACCGAATTTTAAAATAAACGAAGAATTAAGGTAACTAATATCATATTAAATTTTACTGCTCTTTTCGTGTAAAAAAAAAAGCAATTAATATTTTCATTTTACGATACTTATCACATTTGAGAAAATAATTTATTCCAAAATTATTTCGAATGTTTATGATTTCAATGAGCAATAAATATCTTTTTTATATGACCAATGATTATTATTTCAACTTAATAAATTTTTAAACAAAAATAATATTAAATTAAAAATAATTAATTAATTTATTAAATAATTTATCATAATTTAAATAAATTTAATGATTTTTTTAAATGATATAAAATTAAAAAATGTGATAAACACGATGCAAGACAGCGTTTACGCGTAAACAGTGTAAAGGCAATCACATGACAAGCTGTGATCCACGAGTGAAGATTAATAGCATTATTAACGTCAGACTAATAAATCCATTATCAAAATCCACTGCCGCTAATAAATGTCCAATCTCGTCTCCTTTCGCTTTCTCCTTTCCTATAAAATCCATTTGACCTTTGTTTTTTATTTTCCCCGCAATTTTTACCGCTAAAAATAGATTGGTCAAAAAAAAGAAAAAAAATATTCCATACCTAGATTTAATTTTAAATTATAAATCTTATGAAGTTTTTTTAAAATTCTTAATAAAAAATTATGATTTTTATATTTTATTTTATGTAATTAATAATTAAATTGTTGCAATGAAGACAAGCACTTTTGACAAAATACAAAGAATTAGGTGATGACATGGCAGTGGAGATTGTGGTAGCCGGCTATATAGCTATATATAATAATAATATCTATATATATATATAATATATAAATAGAGTAGTTTGTATTATATAAAAGCCAAGTGTAAACATTTGAAATTGTCAAGTATGAATAAAACAATAATTATTTAGCACGGTTGTAAGAAAATCAGGTGTAATGACAGCAATTGTAAGAAGATAAGTTGTTTTATATTTTTAAATAATGTTTTTATCTTGATAATATCCATTAATTACATCTTATCAAGATAATGTATTGAATTAAATTAAAATATAAATAACCCAAGTCATAAAATAAGAAATATTTAGTTTATACCGCGAGTTAAGTTGCACGGACACAGAACACGAGATATGGAACGTACAAAATATATGATAACAAATAAACAAACATTTATAACAAATAAAAAACATATAATTAAAAAAAATTTAATTTTTTATTTTTAATGATTACCTTTATGTATGAGTAATCTTATATATGTTGCATAGACACGGGACACGAGATATGAGAATGTATTGGATATAATAATAAATAAACAAATATTTATAATAAATAATAAACATAAAATAAAAAAATACTTCATTTCTTATTTCAATGATTAATTAAATTCTCAAAATTATTGTCACTCTTGAAAAATATTTATTTATTTATATTTATCTATATAATATATAAAAGCAGGGTAGTTTGCTTTATATGGAAGCAAAGTGTAAATAACACAGTTTGCTACTTGATATTATTTTTGGATTATAGAATGACGAATAATAAAATTCACACAATTTAGCATAATTGTAAGAATAATACAAAGATTAGTTATTTTATATTTTCAAATAATCATTCTATCAATATAATATATATAAAAAATATTATCTCTAGCATTTAATTTAATATATTATAATATATAATAATAATTTTAATTTATTCCTTACAAAATAATTGATAAATAATTTTCACCACACTTTAAAAAGAGTGTGAATAAAAACAATATATAAAGCAATTTAAAAAATACTAAATTGAAACGTTACGAGATATGATAATTTTTAAAAAAGATAGGACATCCACACGCTTATGGATACACTAAATAAATAATATATTAATTATTTTAAATAAATAAATAATAAACTTATAATAAATTATAAAATAATAAATTATAAACATAAAATAACAAAAAAATAATTTCTTATTTCAATGACACAAAGGCAAATTAAAAAAAAAAACACTTTACTTTTATTGGTAATAAAAAAAATATCTTAGTTGATTAGCTTAGTGTAAGGAGTAGTCTCATATACCCGAAGCTAGGTTGAGCACGGAAATGATAATTTTTAAAAAGTATGACATCTATACGCTGAGGACACGCTACACTAAATAAGTAATACATTAATATTTTAAATAAATAAACAATCTTTTATAATAAATCATACACATAAAATAAAAAATACTTAATTTATTATTTCAATAGTTAAATTCTCAAAATCATTATCACTATTGAAAAATATATTAATAGTGTGCATGCATTTTTTTATGCAGGTCATATCATGCATGACTTTTGCTTATTGCATACCTTATGAAAAACTTTTGCATGATATTTAAGAAGACGTATTTTAGCATCGCAACTTTTCAGCATATTTCAATAAGATACAATTTATCATTTTATTATATAATTTTACTTTTTTTGAATGATGTTATAAAATACTATTTCATCTTTTAATATTACTCTACGCATTGTGTGGATTATAAGGAAAAAATAATTATATTTTCAGATAATCTCATATAGGAGGAAAAAAAAACTAAATTAATATTAATAAGCAAAAATTATTTTATTTGAAAATAAGACAGAAATATAAAGGAAAAGAATTTTGATAATTTTTGAAATTAGAAGGAAAATAAAAAACTATAAAAATAATAAAAATTAATTTTATTTTTCTTTTATATCGAAAGAAAATAAATAAAAAAGGTTGTCCAAAAAAAAATTAGTCCCTTCTTATTTTTTACTATTCATTAATAAAACAAGATAAAAAATATATTACAAAAACACTTCATCACGTGACACGGGAACGTGCGCGATTATAATTTTTTAAAAATAGAAGATTCACACGTTTAGGACACACTAAACTAAATAAGTATAATATATTAATATTTTAAATAAATAAAAAAATTATTTGTAATAAATTATAAAAATAAAATAAAAAAAATTATTTTAATAAGTAATAAATTATAAAAATAAAATAAAAAATATTTAATTTCTTTTTTCAATATAATTAGTTAAATTCTCAAAATTATTATCACTATTGGAAAGTATATTAATAGCGTGTTTATTTTTTTTTATGCAAGTCATATTAGAGGTGTCAAAATAGGTCATGACACCCGCACACGATCCTCCTAACATGCGAAATAAATGAGTTAGAGTTGAGGTTAAACGAGTTCATGTTATGAACGAGTTATCCATTTATGACATGAATATAAACGTATTGTGTCACGGGTTAGACGAGTGACCTGTTTATTTAAGAGTAAAAAGATAATTTTAGTGTTAGATATAAATACTCAAACTAAAACCTATTTAAATTTTATTGTGTATTATTTTTTATTTTAATTATAAATCTTGAAGAATTTATGCATTTTACATGTGAAAATTTATTTTTAAATATAATTGGAGTTAAATAGGTTAGTTAAATAGGTTAGAGGTTAAAATTTATAAACAGGTACGTGGGTCATATATACGGTCAAACACATCCAGCTTAACCTATTTTTTATATTTTTTATTTTAATTATAAATCTTGAAGAATTTATGCATTTTACATGTGAAAATTTATTTTTAAATATAATTGGAGTTAAATAGGTTAAGAGTTAAAAATTCTATAAACAGGTTACGTGGGTCATATATAGGTCAACACATCCACTTAACCTATTTTTTATATTAAGCAGGTTACATGGGTTGTATATGAGTCAACACGATCCACTTAACATATTTATGATATTAAGCAGGTTAAACTTGTCGTGTTCATGTCAGCCGTCTAATTTTCGTGCCATGTTTGTGTTGAAGTTATAAAAAATTATTTCATTATTAAATAATTCTCCGCGCATCGCGTGAGTTCTAACACTAGTACTGTTTAAAGTTTAAACATTATATTATAATAAAAATAAAAATTGTGTATGGGATTTCCATACATTAAATTAATACGTAATTATCAATTTTATATATGAAAAATACTTCAGTTTTTCTTATTTATCATCGTCTGATCACCTATAAATTAATTATGATTAATTTAGTGCATAGTGGTCCCATATAGTAGGTGAACTTGGATCACTGTTCTGCCACGTGTCCTAATCTCATCTCACCTTACCCACGTCATGTGCGGTCTCAGAGCTAATGTTACCCATGAATCTTAGATAATGTACTGTACAGGCCGATCTCTTCTCTTTACATCTAACATCCAAACGTGTCCCAATGACCTTAAGGCTGTCATTTTTTTTTTCCACTCCTCCAATTCCAAGGATTCCGGTAAATAAATATATTAAAAATAAATAAAACTTACAACTGTTTTTTCTTGCAAAATGACGTCTTCACCCCTTATCAGTTATTCCTTCACCTGCTGTATGTCCTACATACGGTCCTAGTATTGCCTTTTTGCAGTGTCTTTAGTAAACTCATTTTTCTTTACTTTTGGACTGTTTTGAATATAGTAATGTGGGTCTGTGGAGATTATTTGCATACTCCTAAGGAGCATGAAACCTGATGCTGCGCTACAGCACCATGACCGTAGCTAAATGGATGTACTGCCGATGATGAAGTAATCGACTTGGACCAACAATTGTGCTATGTTTGGATGAAAGGAACGTATATGAGAAGGACACATAATAAATTGAAGGAAAACATTTTATTTTATTTGAAACAAAGAGAAAAAAATATTAAAGATAAGAAAAATTTACAAAATTGCACTTGGGCCTCAAAATTAATCTCTCTAAATTTGAGAGGAAATGAGTTTATGTTGGAGGAAAAATGATGCTATTTATATATAATTACAATAATACCATATATATATATATAGTTTTGACTGGCAAATAAAATTTTTTTATTATAGTTATAATGTGCAGGAAAATTTTAATTTATCCCGGTAATATTTCAATAAGCCACTCATATTTTGTCATAAAGTATATATTAATAAGGTTAAAATTATAAAATTATAGCTTTCAAAATATGAAAAGGGGTAAATATTTCCTCCCATGGCCATCCAAACAGAAGAGAGAAAATAATAAAGAAAATAAAATTCAGTTATTATTTTAATTTTGAAAAATTACAGTAAGATCCATGTGGTTTGCGAAATACAATTAGTCCATTATTGTCTTTTAGAAAATAAATTAAAATGTTTTTATATTTTATTTTCGGCAAACTATAAGGCCTTTTGGTTCAATTTTTTTATATTTTCCGTTAAATATCATATGAAATGGCAAAAATATACTTTTTATTTTTAAAAACACAAGTACTAATTAGTTGTATTTTTAAATTATAGAAACTGTATTGTAATTTTTATGTTATAATATTTTACTAACTTTCCTTTAATATCTATATTCTATTATTGATTTAATATAAAAAATATAAAAATTGGACAAAAATTAATACTAAAACAAAATATAGAGAGAAATTAATATATTTAAAAAAAACAGGAACAGATTAATTATATTTTACAATTTAGATGTACCATTCCCTTTAATTTTTCGCTTTTTATTTTCTTTTCTCTCTAATCGAAACGGAGCTACAATAATTGAACAAACCGGGACACTGATTTAGCAAAGAGTACCACCGTAGCCCATAATTGCTCTTGCCTTGTCTGGCAGCAGAAGATATTCCAGAACTATCCTTGGGGAAAGGTTCCGCTCTCTGACTGGAATTTGTCGGAGCCATCCAGAAGCACAAAGGATAATACAGGTAATTTACAACTGATGTTATTAGTAAAAATAATTTATTATTTTTAGAAGAATTTATATATTAAACTTGGTAACAATATGTTATTTATATAAAAAATTGAATTTCGATCTCGAACGCAATGGAAAAAGAAATTGACAATTTTGTGATGCAAAATAATACTACGAAAAAATAAATTTGAAAGGACAAATCAGGAGAAACATGTAATTACATAGTAGGAATGACTCAAACCAATCACTGTAATGTAATGACGAAGTAAAAAATAATGAGTTACCAAGTAGTAAGATTCACCAAATGATTCTCTCCCTCCCTTAATCATGAAATAGACGAATCAAAAGGAGTACATTACTAATTACTATTACTAACAAACAAATTTAGCACTATTAACTGCCAAAATCATAATTAGCCGTAAATAGCTTTGATCGCGTAAACTGCACGCTCTTTCTCGGGGCGTGGTATTTTTTAATTAAAATAAAAAACGATTTCAGTTTCAAAACAAAGGAAAACACAAAACTGTGCCTTTTGTAGTTTTAAACTAACGGCACTTAACAGTATCAAGGGAATCGGTTTTTGTTAGATGAAATTTCTTTTTATCTTTCTCGACCTGCGTTTTCGCGTGTGATTATTTAATGTTTATTACTTGGTTAAAGAAGTTTAATAAATAGTAAAACTTATTCAAAAAAAAATAAAAAAAATAAAAAACAGAGGAGAGAGCTGTGTGTGTTTTTACTTTTAACTGGATTGTTCTGTTCTGGTTCTTTCTTTTTCTTGACCTCCTATCCTATGTTTCTGTAATAATTAGTGATTTTTTTTTTAATTTGAAAAGGTTTTAGGTGAAAAAAACAAGGAAACTGTCTTTGTCGGATGCAGTGCTTTTTTTTTTTTTTGTGATTTGAACCCTAAAGTTAGCGTTGGATTGATTTTATGATTGTTATATGTCTTCTGTTCCCATATTAGCAATAGAAATTTATCCGCGGAGGTTGCCGTGAATCGTATGTTTGGCTGGAAAAGGAGAAAGAAGAAGAAAAAGAAAAAATAAAAAGAAAAAGAAACAAAACCATCGAAATCTTGTATTTTAGGAAGCTCCAATTGATATTTACAAAAGAACGTGGTGTTTGTGTCTGTGTTATTACCTGGACTGGGTCTGTGTGGATGTGAATGTATATTTTGGTCTTTGGTAAACATAAAAAATTTGAAAATTTAAAAATTGATTCTTTTTTGAGAATATCAAACATCAAAGACGTGTTGAGCTGTTACCATCTCTTTTTCTAAATCTCTCTGTACGCCACTCTCCCTCTCTCTCTCCCCTATAACTTCTTCTCCTTCTTAATACGTTCTCATATTGCAAGCTGGAATCGAATGTGAGCTTTTTTGGACTCATCTCACTGCTCATAGCTCGCTTTCTCTCTTTCTTACCTATCTCACATTTTTCAGTTTTTATTTATTTATCAAGAATAGATCTCTCTTTTATAAGTTGTGTCCCGTCCCCTTGTTGCCATGATTTAGAGACGCTTCGCTTTCTTGCTTCTGCTTCGTCTTCCACGCGTCTTTCTTTCCCATCCATTTTATCTGTTTTTCTCTGACAATGTTATCAAAGTTATAGCCTTTTCAGCCCTCGAGAGAAAGAAGGGGAGAACAAAAAGAAAAAAAGAAAAAGAAAAAACAATTAAGAGGAAACAGTTTTTGGGCTAATATTGATTGCTTATTTTGTTCTGTTCCGTTCCTTCTTTTGTTTGTGTGTCTGGTTTATTTTTATAGATCAGACCCAAAACAGAAAAATTAACGACAATGGCACCCTCGTTCGATTGGTGGGCTAAGGAGGGCCATAGAGGCACACCCGTCGTGGTCAAAATGGAGAACCCCAACTGGTCAATGGTCGAGCTAGAGGGTCCATCCGAGGAAGATTTCATCATCGGCGCCAACTCCCCGGCGCGTACAAGGGATAAGTCTCGCAACAAGAACGCCAAGCAGCTAACATGGGTTCTTCTCCTCAAAGCCCACAAGGCTGCCGGTTGTTTAACCTCCATTGCCTCCGCAATGGTCTCCCTGGGCTCGTCCATCAAGCGTCGTCTCCGCTCTGGCCGCACCGACACCGACACAGAAGGTGACGCCGATATCGACCGGGTAAATGAGGACCCAACTGTCAGAACGCGGTTCTACTCCTGTATCAAGGTGTTTTTATGGCTATCAGTTTTACTTCTAGGGTTCGAGATGGCTGCCTATTTCAAGGGCTGGCATTTTGGTGCTCCACATCTCCAATTGCAGTACTTATTAGCCACGCCGTTTGGGTTTAAAGACATTTTCGATTCGTTGTATTCTCGGTGGGTTTTGATTCGCGTGGAGTATCTCGCTCCTCCATTGCAATTCCTCGCCAATGTATGTATTGTGCTCTTCCTTATCCAGAGTTTGGATAGGCTTATTCTCTGCTTGGGTTGTTTCTGGATCCGATTTAAGAAGATAAAACCCATTCCCAAACAAGACGCAGTTGCTGATCTTGAGTCCGGTGAAAATGGCTTCTTCCCTATGGTTCTTGTCCAAATCCCCATGTGCAATGAGAAAGAGGTATATTTCTTTTTTCTTATTTTCAACTTTTAATTCTACTTGGTTACTTGTTTATTTCAAGTTAAGCTCAAGTATAGTTGTCTACTTAAGTTAATTTTGGTTTCAATGCTTACTTTTGTTTATAATACTTCTTAGGTTTATCAACAATCAATTGCTGCTGTGTGTAATTTGGATTGGCCTAAATCAAAAATTTTGATTCAAGTTCTTGATGATTCTGATGATCCAATCACACAATTGTTGATTAAAGAAGAGGTGAACAAATGGCAACAAGAGGGTTCCCACATTGTGTATAGGCATCGTGAAATTAGAGAAGGCTATAAAGCTGGTAATCTGAAGTCTGCAATGAGTTGCAGCTATGTTAAAGATTATGAATTTGTTGCTATTTTTGATGCCGATTTCCAGCCCACACCTGACTTTCTTAAAAGAACAGTCCCTCACTTCAAGGTTGTTGAATTTGATGCTTTGTTGGTGTAGGTGTTATAGTTTCTAAAGCTGAATTTGAGCTTGGAATTATTATTTGTCTATTTAAAGAGAAGTTTATTTGAAGTTTTTACTCTAGAATATAATGAAAAGACTGAAATTTGTATGTGGTATTGTCTTGTGGTGAAACTACAGGATGATGAAGAGTTAGGACTGGTTCAAGCACGATGGTCATTTGTAAACAAGGATGAGAACTTGTTAACAAGGTTGCAGAATATTAACTTAGCATTCCATTTCGAAGTAGAGCAGCAGGTAAATGGTGTTTTCCTTAATTTCTTTGGGTTCAATGGGACTGCCGGTATATGGAGGATAAAGGCTTTAGATGATGCTGGTGGGTGGTTAGAGAGAACTACTGTTGAGGACATGGATATCGCTGTCCGTGCTCATCTTCACGGCTGGAAATTTATCTTCCTGAATGATGTTGAGGTATAATAGTACTTCTTGCTTAATTTATCAGAATGAACTCTTTTATCATTGATTTTCTTTTGAATCTCTCTCTCTGAAAGTGGCAATTGTTGATTCATATGAGACTAATAGATAGTTCCTTCATGTGTTCAGTGCCAGTGTGAATTGCCTGAATCATATGAAGCATATAGAAAGCAACAACACAGATGGCATTCTGGACCCATGCAGTTGTTTAGACTCTGTTTACCTGCTATCATAAGATCAAAGGTAAATACTTGGAGGAACTTTTTTCTTGTGATGACAATTTAACAAGTATTCCAGTTTGTGTTGGTTATAGTTGCTAATGTTGTTTTCAACTGGTTTTGCAGATTGGCATATGGAAGAAATTCAATTTGATCTTTCTCTTCTTTCTGCTAAGAAAACTGATCCTGCCCTTTTATTCTTTCACCCTATTTTGCATAATTTTGCCCATGACAATGTTTGTACCAGAGGCAGAGCTTCCAGCATGGGTTGTGTGTTATATTCCAGCCACAATGTCATTTCTCAATATCCTCCCTGCACCAAAATCCTTCCCCTTCATTGTCCCGTATCTTCTATTTGAGAACACTATGTCAGTGACTAAGTTCAATGCCATGATCTCTGGTCTATTCCAGCTTGGAAGTGCCTATGAATGGGTTGTCACTAAGAAGTCTGGTCGCTCTTCTGAGGGTGATCTTGTATCCTTAGCTCAAAAAGAAACAAAGCATCAAAATGGGGCGTCAGTGCTAAATCTTGGAGATATGAAAGAGGAACTTCAACAGAAGGAACAAAATACTCAAAAGAAGAAGCATAATAGAATATATACAAAGGAACTCGCATTGGCTTTTCTTCTTTTAACAGCTTCAGCGAGGAGTCTCCTGTCTGCACAGGGGATCCATTTCTACTTTTTGCTGTTTCAAGGAGTATCATTCCTGCTGGTTGGTCTTGATTTGATAGGGGAGCAGGTCGAGTGAATCGAAAATTAGATGGATTACAGGGGGTTATAAGGCAGCTGTAGATGCACAGGCGAAATGGATGCACACAGAATATCAATGAAGAAGAACCGACACTGGGAGATCATTACCGCTGGCTGAGAAACGCTTCATTTTTTTTTTCTAGCCTTCACCCTTCAGAACCCCAATACGAGAAAACATTTTAAAAAATTGGACAGAAGAATGACTTGCAGTTGGGAGACACCGAAAATTACATAATATCAATGCTCTTGATTATATGTAAGGTTTCCTTCTTCTTTTTTTGTTTTTTCATTCTTTTGTTTTTGCTTCAATTCTTTTGTAAGAAAAATTTGTCGTTAAAACATCAAACAATTACTTACATTTTTAAGGAGAGATAGCAGAACTCCACATGAGATGCCTTTTTTTTTTCTTTTTACTCTAATCAATTCCGAACATGTGCATTCAAATTGTAGTTAATTTTACTGTAATTATCAAGAGAAGAAATTGAATCGCAGTTCAGGTTTTGCTTTTCCAGAAACTGGAAGCCAATCTCTAGTAGCAAATTGCTTATCATCTGTGAAGTTCCTCTATGAATTTGTACTTACCTATCTGTTTAACTTCAACCCCTCACCGACATTGAAACATGAGAATTCTTGAATACCCTTAATTTTTTTTTTTTTTTTTAATTTTAATTATCAAACTTTTGAATTGAGTTGGGTTGATCCTCTTGAATGTACTTGCTTAACACGTGTGATCAGTTCTGCAAAGTTAAATTATCAACTGAAGTAGTTTTCCAAGCCCACAGACACGGAACAAATAAAAGTGTAATGTAGTGGGAAGCACATGGGATTATGTTTTATCTGATAAATATTTAGTGTGGCCCATTTCAAAGTTGTCCTGCCGAATTTATGGTTGGGAAGCAGCTGGACCACTCCATCGATATGGACCTTCTAAGATACCTATCTACAAAGCCACACATCTTCATGTTCATTCAAAAAAAATTTACGGAGAAACTGAGAATTGAAGAGTAAGTCTTCGTGTTCTTTCTGTTTATCTTCCTAATTTTAACCCTGTTTCTAGGACACACTACTAGAAGGACAAACCAGGGTTTTAGTTCAGTTAGGACTCTGAAGGATGGTTTAGGGTGTCGAAGTGGCAATTCATGGCATTGAATATTGGAGTGAAGACCCACCTTAGCAAGTGGAAGGAGTGGCACTTTCTATGAATTTGATGGGCATGTGGCATTTGTTTGTGTGGGGTTTCTTTTCTTCGAGACGGCAGGTTGCTGTGCATCGGAGGCATATAAATGAATCTTTGTTTAAACTTTCTGTTATAAATCCAGCTCACACCTTCAATTTAACTAGACTGATTTCTTTTTGTTTCCATTTGAAGGCGACTTCAATTAGTTAAATAAATATATTAGTAATGATTTATAAAATAAGTCCAAATCAGCCAGATTATATATGTTGAATCTGTAATTTTTTTCTTTTTTTTATTTCTTAATCAGGGAACAGGATCTCCTTGATTTAGGACAATCATTTGGTTTTTATTTTTCAGACTTATCCTTCTGTCTTGTGTTGAAAGCTGATAGTAAAATATTCTTGTCAGTCGGTCAAATAGTATCAAATTACGTACTGTCTGTAACTCTATCCTATCCCCATTAAGAACCTTTTGGAAGATAGTAGTACCATATGAGCTGGATGAAAGGAAATCCACCAAGAAAGAGAAAAAAGGGAAGGAAGGAAGCATCCCCTACTCAGGTTTCTGGGTCGTTGGGTTCGATATGGTTGGTTTGGTCCAAACCAGGGATTTATAATTGAGCACTTGGTTCTGTTTTGAAAATCGACGTCAAGGTTACCCCACCTGAAACTGCTTTGTCTTCCATGAAATAAAGTAACACAACAAAAAAAAAACAAAAGCTTTAGTAATGGTCCAACTAAACTAGGCACCTTTGTTACAATTCAATTTTATTTTTTTGACACAAAAATTCATCAATTGGAACCTGAAAAAATATTTTATTTATTGTATTGGTGGTTCAATAATTGATATGACATTACTGACCTACCAGCCATTTTGGCTTAAAATAACTATTAATCCACGATCTGTCGTTTTGTATCTCGGAATAAATCAGCACTATCCTAACCCAATGGCCCATATAATTATATGCGCAATTGCGCGTGCGTAATACTAAGAAATTGCACTTGTGAGTGCGACGTCGTTTTCCAATTATGTAGCAAATTGAATTATATTATAGATGGACTGGGCTATGGAGACAAGACAGTTATATTAAATGGAGCTAGACAAGTAATAAATGGGCCGGACATGTCATGGGCTTATCATGAACTCTCTCCCATGAGCCACGTGTCAACCGCTCAACTTGAGAACGCTCCTCACTGATTGCATTTCCTGATTTCCAAAAACATGGAATTACGTACAAGAATACAAAATTAAAGATCTGGAATTGAATTGAATAGGCGATTTTCTCTTGCACGTGGAATCTAACTGCAAGGTTTCTACAGTTCCTCTCCCTGGATAATTATAATCTCATTTGCCACAATCGCCTAATTGTAATTATTAGTGATTGTTAATTATATTTATGGAAAGCTTACTAGATAGTTTTGAAACAAACAGCATAGTATATTTGCAGGCACATCAACGGTTAAGTTTTGAGCTATGTCAAGGAGGCCAGTCAATCCGTCTCGGCGATACGGAGACAGTAGTGGAGGAGGAGGAGGAGCCGCTGGTCTCTTCGCCTTCAATTACAAGTCGCGTTCTGCTCCATATTTTCCGATTGTTCTTATTGTCCTCGTAACTTCTTCTTTTAACCACTCTTTATTTTCCACTTTCAAATTTTGATTTTATTTTAGTGTGTTTATATATATGTTCAAACTTATTGCATTGCAAGGTATACTTGAATCCTGATTGCTGTATATAAGTCTGATTTATTATCGAAATTTTTTCAGGGAGCACTCTTTATTTTTGCCTACTTGTTCAGGGGCTCAGGTTGGTTCTTGATTTTTTAAAACAAGCTTTTTGTCCCGCTCTTATTGGATTAATACTGTCTATTGTGATAGTTGAGGAGGAAAGACATTCAAAATTGTCGTTGTATGTATGTGTATATAATTTTTGTTTCCTAAATGGACAACCATTGATCATTTCCACATTTGCAATGTATAGATAGTATTATGCAAAATTTCTTTTTGGTCGTTAAAATTGTTGCTGCAAATTACTTTTCATTCTGCAGCTCATTTACAAAGTGCGAAATTGTTTATGATCTATCCTCTTATGATTACTAATTGTTGACAATTTACAGAATTTATTTGCATTTGCCACTCATTGACTGAACTATGTTCATGTGATAGGAGGATTTGGTAGCAACAAAGGGGTTGTCAGTACGATTGAAGGTAAAGTTGAGTGACTTTTAAATTTTGTTCCGCAATTTTTGAGATTTCATATAATTAATGGTCATCTACAAATTCCTTGCTGACAACATAGTTGTGGACTAATTGGCAAATATATTCAACAAGAAAGTGAGGAGAGTTTCCTTGTTAGCCAAAGGTTCATGAACTTTTGGTTGATTCTAAAATTTTTTCCTTTGGATTGTGAGTTTAACAAAAGTTTGAGTTGTTCTTTTTTTTTTTTCAACTTAATGTCTTTGAAAACTTTTTGTTCTTGTATATTGTCATTATCTACCAGAAAATTGTCTAAAAGACATGCCTACAACTATTTTCTATGTGAATTTGCACAGTTCATACTATGGATAAAGATGCCAGAAAGAGAGGTTAGGAAAATGCAATAATGCTAAAAATAGTTCCAGAAAGTGCAATGACAGTTGTGAATTTGGGTCGTCGTGGCATACTTTATCTATTAGCAATTCGTTGCTCTGCTGTATCATAAGAGATTAACCATAGTGACTTTGTAAAACTATGATTGTTTTTGAATTGAGTCAACTGAAGACTGAAACACGTCCTGTGTTTGAATTAAAGAGTAAGCTTTGCCTGCATGTATAGGTGATTTTTCGTGCACAGTAGAGGTTCAGCGAGCAATTCCAATTTTGAAGAAGGCCTATGGTGACCACATGCGTAAAGTTTTGCATGTTGGCCCTGATACTTGTTCGGTGGTTTCTTTATTGCTGAAAGAAGAGGAAACTGAAGCTTGGGGTGTGGAACCATATGATATTGAGGATGTGGATAGTCACTGCCGAGCACTAGTGCAAAAGGGCAATGTGCGTGTTGCCGATATCAAGTTTCCTCTTCCTTACAGGCCAAAGTCTTTTTCTCTTGTAATTGTGTCAGATGCATTAGACTACTTGTCTCCAAGGTATCTCAACAGAACGCTTCCTGAATTGGCTAGGGTATCGAGTGAGGGTCTGATAATATTTACAGGTAAAAAAAAGCTCGACTGAGCTAGAATTTTCATTTGGACGTTTTAGTATCGATTAGAATATTTGTTTGTTGACTTATTTCAAATCATTTATTTGTTTGCTATTCTTGGTCTTTTTGGCTGCCACTCAGGCTTCTGGTTTCTATTGTTTGTTAGAGTGAATAAACAGCAACTTAATGGTGTTATTGAAATCCTCTTACAGAAGTAGCAACATACCCTATTTCCCTCTGCTTAGTCATTGATTAGGAATTTAGAATCTCATGATGTTGGAAAAAACAATTGTTGATGGACATATTTAAGGACTTTTAGTTGATTAAGTATTTACCCTGTTCTGGAAGTTAGGCTTTCATTCTCAGTTTACCAATTATCTAAATTTACAATTACTTTAAGTTGTAAGTCAATTTTGAAAGGATACCATTTTGCAAACAGCCTCCCTATATCGGCTTTGACAAATTTTGGATTTGTCTGACATATGCGGCTTCTTGTCTTGTTGAATAGGCAAAATTACCAATTTATTCAGTTTCATCCTTCTTATGAGATATAATGCAGGGATAAAATCTAGAAGGCATATATCTAACCTTGGCGCATCAACCTTTTGTGTTACATGCAGGCTTTCCAGGTCAGCATAGATCTAAAGTTGCAGAAGTATCCAAGTTTGGAAAAGCAGTAAGTGGCTTACTTGTGGGATGCTGGCTCCTAGATTAAAGCTTGGTTATTTACTTATTTTATTTTGTTGATGTTTAATTTTTTAAGTTAAAAATACAATTATATTTCTTGCATAACCTGTATCATTTGCTTTCCTGTTGTGTATTGCAGTTTTGATAAATAGCAATAGTCTTGCCTTACTAATTTCTGAGATGGGATTGGCAGTTTGTCATGGTTTTAGTCTATAGAGTGTTTGGAATCAAGTGGCCCAAGTGCCAAATGTCAATTTGCTTTGCAATTGATCTGTAGTGGAACCTGTAAATTGCATCAGAAAAGAGCATCCCCTCCTTTTATTTGCTGAGAGGGTCATAGACTTGTCCCTATAACCTCTAGCTATAAAATTTCAAGTCTTAAATGCCCTTGGGGTAGTAGAGAGGAAAAATTATAACGCTAATTGGCTTACTGTCATTCTTAGTACCAAGTAGTCATATATCATCTTTGTTGCATAGTTACATGAAATCATTCATTCTTATTAAGAATCTTAATTTGGAATATCTGAACTTGAATGGAATTTCTCTCTGCGCTTATTTTATCACATACTGATTGAGTGGAATTTTTTGTGAACTTCATTAAACAGTCATAAACTTCAAAGGAGTAAATCATTGTTGTATCTCTTAAGAGAATTATATTGGAAGTTAATACATGTTACTTTGGCGAGAGCCAGAGATGAGAAAACCATTGCTTGATACCTAGAATTTGATTTTTTTTTTTTTTTGGGTGCCAAATTATTTACAATCACATTTCTTATCATTAGCTCATTTACTTCTAAATACGACTCTCTGAATGGAGTAAAAGAAGAACTTGCGATGTTTATATCTTACTTAAGATTAAGATTTAAGTTTTTTATTTGCAGGCTAAGTTGAGGAGTTTGTCTTGGTGGACACGATACTTTATCCAGACCAGTTTAGACGAAAATGAAGCTGCTGTGAAGAAGTTTGACCAGGCAGCAGCAAAGAAGTCGTACAGCCCAGGTTGCCAAATTTTCCACCTCAAGGCATACAGTTGACTTCCTGCATAATTTAAATCAACTTTTACTGAAGCTCATTGGTATAACTAAACCCAAATTTTTTTCTGTAAATGTGGATCAGAGTAATTCAAATTCTTCAATAGAATATTTTTGCTAATTATTTTGTATCATGCTGTATTTCAACCCACATGACTTTTATTCTTTGATTGTCATTGTTATACCGAAATCGGAGCATGGATCAATATTCTTAGCTCAAATTATGTTTCGGTCTGACTGTTTTAACTTGTAACAAGAAGTTGTTTAGCTATTGATACCCTTAAAATTTGAATTTTGGTTACATTGTACATCTCTCTTCGATAGCAATAACAATTTTTTAGCGTTTTTGGCTTATATATGCAAATTTGCTATCAATGCAACTTTTAATATTTTTCTAATACGTGTTTTAATCGATTTAATTATATAAGTTGAAGTATTTAATATAATTTCGTAGTTGAAGCGCTTAATAAATACAATTTTATAATTTGATGTGTTTAATAGATTAAAGTAAAAGTTAAAAGTTTACATTTTTTTTTTTCTACAAAGAATATAAGGAATTGCCATTTTTCCAATAGGAAAAGGAGATTGTGGATCGTGATGCATTAGCTCACTAGCGTATACAGCTTCGAAACTCAAAATTATTGTCATTCTGTTTGTTTCCAATCTGTTTATTTGAAGCAACAACGGGACAAACAAACTTGAAAATGAAATGCAGAAGGGACAGGTAGTATAGTCATCCTGTCTCCATCTTACAAAATGCAAATAATCAGATTGCCCATAACGAAAGATTTATCTTTGACTTAGAGAGAATACAAAGTTGTGCTTGTCTTTGCATCATAAAGTCTCCTTTTGAAGGATGTTTGAATAGAAACAAGCACTTGTGAGACAATTATAATTTGAAATAAGACCTTCAGTAAGTTTTGGTTAGTGCCACTGAGACAGCCTGAGCTTCTTTTTCCAATCAAAAACTCTTGTTAGGTCTTAAATGGTTAGCCTGTCGGGGTATGTGTCCGTTTGTGTGCTTCCGTTGGGTTGTTCCTGTGCTAGATGGAGAAATTATTAAAGACAATTTACTTCTGTTTCTGTACATTCTGATTGACTTGGTTAACACGTGTTGGAGAATTTCTTAAGCTTTATGAAGGCAATATCCCACACGTGACAAAAGCAAGCCGTATTATGTTATGAATTAATCTCAAATAATTCCACAATAACCTAGATCGTGCAAATCACTAGATTCAACAAAATAGATTGAATAAGAAAAGGTTGCGTACAACAAAATAGATTGAATAAGAATAAGGTGCGTTAGCCTGAACATACATTGTTCGTCCGATGCTTGAGTGTAGAATTAGGTTTGCAGGCTTCCAGAGAAGAATTGAATGAATCGATTTTTTGCGGAAAGCAGTGCGAACAGGAACGTAAAAACTGAATTCCGTATTTCAACTCCTCTGGGGACCACGACCGTTATAACCTTTTAGCGTTATACAATTTCCTATTTTCGGTCGTTAGTACAATTCCTATTTCGGTCCTTTAAAGAAATAGGAATTATATAATGGTCTCTACACTTAATATCTATAATTAGTTGATACCTCAATAGTCAATTATTCACAATCAAGACCGCATTTAAAATTGACTTTATAATTAGACTGCTGTACATATTTAATTTTACATATTAAGCCCACAATAGAAAATTAAATCCAACAATCTCCCACTTGGGCGACATTATGTTAAATAAAATACATACACCAAAATGAGCTCAACAAACGCAGTCATACAAGGTATCCAAAAACAATCTCGTCCATTAATTATATTGATAAAGAACTGAAGAAACATTCGCCATAGATCTCATGACTTCACTGACTAAGTTTTCATCATCAACCTACAGATTACCAACTACCCCTAAATGAATTGAGATTCATTTATAGAAGTAGCATGAAAACTACACTGTGATGGTGATCATCATGTCTGTTTCGCAAAACTGCGTCACCAACAAAAGTTCGAGATCAAGCAAGAACAATAATCAACAATAATAATAATACAGAGTGTAACCATCAACCAAAATGAGTACTCAACAAAATTTCATGATAAAACATATCCAAAACAAAATAGAGCATTCAAAACCATAATGTATACATAAAGAGCAGACTCCCACTAAAACTAGACAGTCTCAAACAAAACGATACCCATATGAGCGGTGTGCTCATGGAAAACTTTCGGTATCACTGCCTTTGCAAGCGGATCCGCAATCATAGAGTTTGTTCCAATATGCTCTAAGGATATCTGTCCACTCTGTACCCTCTCCTTCACAGCCAAGAACTTAATCTCAATGTTTTTTAATGCTCAATGTGTTATTGGACTCTCTTTTTTAAATGGAGCTCCTGTTGTTGTTTGACTGAGCGAACTTAAAACGGTGTTTGACTTGCATAGTGTCACAATTACAACTTCAGTGGTCTTTCTATATTCCATCCTACTACACGGTTGGCAGCCCTAATACAGTGACTAAGGGATATTTCCTCACGTCCAAACTAGCTTGATTGGACTGACCTCTAATTTCGAATCGCTACAAAAATTTCCAGCTTCCTAATGGGCGAGTGTGCCACGTAGAGTTCTGTTTCACACTCTTCCAAGAAATAAGCACCGCCAGCAATAGCTAAAACGTAGGCCAGATTATGTGTGATTTTCTACTATCTTGGCATCCAGCGGAATCAGAATCAGGATCATACCCAATGCATCTTCAGAAGTCTATTACTGATCTCCTATATGTGAGCAATATGATTCCCTTTAGTCCTCCTCAAGATATCTCGCCACAATGACCTCTTTTGGCTTTTTTTCGCTCCAATGATTCCATTTCTTGGATTGCTGAGATATTCTACCTAAATCATGTACCAACTCATAAAAGAAATGTCTGGCACCGAGTACAACACCTTGACACATACATAAGACTTCTAATACAGCTGCACGTAACAATAAGGAACCTTTTCATTTCCTCAATTCAAGGTATCACTCTTTGGACATTGGATTACTAAATTTTATCACCTTTATGGACAATTAAGTATTCCAAACTCTAGAATTCTCGCATATGCCCAAATGCCTCTATATCACTTTACAATATAGCTCTGAGCGCCACTAAAGAGTACCCACTTTGATGATAACACCTTTCCAAGGGAACCCTTACCCTTGCATTAAAGAACGGTCTCGATGTATCTGAATTCCCCTTAATCAACAAATAAAGATACCCTTTTCACCTAAATTCGTTTTCATCGCAAAAAATGCTTATTGAAAGAAATACTCAATCATATGTTGGTTTTCAAGTTCGTAGCTCAAGACCTTCTACACATTATATGACTCCTATTCTGCTGTGCAGTAGCCAACGTCACAGCCACTTCTGGTCTCACGCAGTCCAGAACAACGTATTTTATAGAGGTAACCATAAAAAGATTAAACCTACTCCCCACTGAACTTTATGGTACACACAGATTTCAACAGTATTTGCCTATTTGCCTCAAAGCCAAACGAGACAATTACTTAGTTGAACTTAAAGTACCATTGACGAGAAGCTCGCTTGAGTCCATAAATGGATTTCTTTAATTTGCATACCAGATGTTTTGGATCTCCAATTACAAAATTTTCTGGTTGCACCATATATATTGTTTCATCAATGTTGCCATTGAGAAACGTAGTCTTAACATCTATTTGATGAAGCTCAAGATCAAGATTTGCAACTAAGTCCATGATTGTCCTAAAAGAATCCTTCGAAGAAACTGGAGAGAAGGTTTCTTTATAGTCAGTCCCTTCCTTTTGAGTAAAGCCTTTTGCTACAAGACGTGCGTTATATCTTTCCACATTACCTTGAGAATCCCTTTTGGTTTTAAATATCCATTTGCAACCAATGGGTTTCTTTCCTTCAGGTAATTGAACAAGATCCCAGATCCCAAACTTGATTGTCTTGCATAAGATAGACTTATACTCTTCGTTCATTGCCTCAATCCACTTATGAGAGTTAGAACTCTGCATGGCATGATAGAAACTAACTGGATCATCATCTATCATGTTCTACAGTATCCTCATGTTCCTGAAGAAACACTATATAATCATCTGGAATAGCACTTCTTCTTCACTTCTTCTCTCCCTAGTAGATCTCCTCAAAGGCATTTGAACAGACTCTAATTCTTGAGGTTGTTGAATTTGTTCTTAAGGAAGAATAGCATTGTCTGGAATTGGATCTTGAATAGTGACAGGAGCAACTGGAGTCTGTACGCTATCAGAAACAACAAAAGGAATGAGAACCGAATCATCCTTACTTGGTTCCTCTTTAAAGACAATGTTTCTTTCTTTATTTCTCCCTCCAAAATCAACATCCTCAAAAAATGTTGCAATTCTCGTTTCAAAAAAAAGTTCTGGAAGTAGGATTATAAAGTTCTGTGAAATGATAGGGAGGATTGTATAAAACTAATGGTAACCCCATGAGATACCGTGCTCAGGAATATCCAACAAACGTAGCATCTATAGTTTTTGTAGGACCAGTACCAGTATTTGTTTCTTCGGGGCTTGTAGGCCTGCTCTCAGCTGACATTCCCCAAACTATGGTAAAGATGCCTTCCTTTTAGTAACTAGGTTACCTCCAGGTCCCAAACGTTTTTACATAAGGTGTTTTAGCAACTCCTTTTAGATGGAATATCCTAGTCTATTGAGAAAGCATAAGCTGACTGTCTTTAACGCTTCAGTCCCACAGGAGACCTCCGGCTTAAAGTAAAGGAGATCATGACAATCATTACTCCTTTACCATATCCATAAGTAGTAGCCTATTACGTCTCTCAAAGTATTACACCTAATTCTATTTGCTAGGGTTGAGTTACCTAGGCGATTTGTATATTGAGGTGACCAATTCCACATTCCTGTAGGAAAAGCGCAAAAGGTCCTGGACGTTGTTCGCCTGAACCGTCATATTTACCATAATATTCACCACCACGGTCAGATCGAAAAGATTTAATCTTCTTTCCTAGTTGATTTTCAACTTCAGCTTTATAAGATTTGAACACTTCCAAAGACTCAGATTTTTCATGAATGAGATATAAGTAACTATAACGAGAATAGTCATCAATGAACAGATTTAATCTTCTTTCCTAGTTGATTTTCAACTTCGGCTTTATAAGATTTAAACACGTCCAAAGACTCAGATTTTTCATGAATGAGATATAGGTAACCATAACGAGAATAGTCATCAATGAATGATATAAAATATCTTTGGCCATTTCTAGCTGCAATATGGAATGGACCACAAATATCTGTATGAATCAGTCTGTA